GAGATGAAATATGATAGTAGGGTATTCTTTTTGGAGCTCTGGTATTTGGGTGTGTTTTTTTAGTTGAGCAGGAACTTCAGTTTGTGTGATTTTTGACTATGTTGAAGGCTTTCTTAAAAATCAACAAGCAAAAACACCCATAAAAAGGTGCAGTGAAATACTGCAGGAAGAGACAGAACGATAAAGATGGTGGAACATTCCTACAAAAAGCAGAGTAGAATGGACACTCCTTTTAAAATAACAAAAGGATGGGAAAAGAAGAATTTAACAGAGTGTTTTGTACAAGATTCTGTTCATTCAGGATTCCTAAATAATTTTGATTACTTAATGGAAGTAGAAGAAACATCTAAAAATAATGAAGAACACAAGGAAATGTGTGTAAAGCAGCAGTGTGACTGAATCTATTTTAACAAATACTTTGGAGCTGTGGAAACTTGCTTTTTAGTAGATATGGTGATGCTAACACTTGAATTAATTCCATCATATTATAAAATACTTAATGTTGGGGCATTCCACGGTAGAGAATCCTTCTGAATCATCTCAGTCAAGCTTAAATACTGTTTGCTTTCCAAATAAGGAACTGAGTCTGAAATGTTAATTGTGACTTGAGGCTATAATGTCCTATGCAGTGTGTAAATCAACACTGCTTGGAAGTGAAGCCTCAGGTGTATTTTGAAGCTTCTATAATAAGCTAGTCTGAACTAGTCTTGGTCATCTTTTTATAAGAGCAAGAAGTGATAGGACAAGGGGAAATGTCTTTAAACTGAAAGACAGTGGATATTAGGAAGATACTAGGAAGAAGCTCTTTACTATGAGGTTGGTGAGTCACTCTGGTGTTGCCCAGAGAATCCGTGGCTGCCCCATTCATGGCAGTGTTCAAGGCCAGGTTGGATGAGCCAACCTGGTCTAGTGGAAGGTGTCCCTGGAGGTTGGAACTAGATGATCTTTAAGTTTCCTTCCAACCCAAACCATTCTATGATCTTTTGAAGACAGTAAGAGGGTTTTATGCTAATTAAGATATATTTTTCTGGCTGTAATATCTTGATGGCAGTTCTTAAGTTTTGACAGTTTATCTTGCAGTACGTCTTGCTAGGACTGGCATGTTTTGTTTCATTAATAATTTACTATTGCATTAGGAAAATGAGCACAATGTATGTTCTTCATCCCCCATAAACTGTTCATTCTGAGGCAAACTGATGATCCGTTTCTTTTATGTGTCAACCCCCCCCCCATCTATATTTAGATAACTTGCTCACAAGATACAGCAAGATATTCTTACTCAGTGGGCAGCACGGTGAGTTGGCACTGATGGTGTTTCACATGACAGATAATGCAGAAGTTTCTCTTGGTACTGCTGTGGGCAGGACAAAGAATCGTGATGAAGAGGGAGCAAGATAGAGAGAGTACACAGTATCCCCAAAATACCATTCAGAAGAGCTACTTAAAAATAACCATTACTGCATTCATGTTGTATTTTGGAAAAGGGGAACTGATATGTTGTAGAAAAGGTTTTGTTTATTTAAAGATTGGCTATTATTTCTAAACCCATTTAAATGCCACAAGCACCCAGGGTTAACTTACAGAGAACTTAGCTACAGATGACTTCAGGGCTAAAAGTACAGGAAGAGTAATCAGTAAATAAACCACCTTCTGTTTTGACAGTAAAGCCATAGTGTATATGATGAAAGGTTAAGGTGTAAGTCCAAGGAGAGTCATGTGTTCTCCAGCACATGGCTGATAAGGGCAGATTAACAAAGTGACTTTGCCACCATCTTCTCTGAAAGAGAGGACACAACCACAGATACCACCAGGAGTGCATCTACCCCTGGCTACAGAATTGCACCCTATCCCTGAAGTGGTGGCTTGTTTTATTCCGGAAAATGGCTGGATTTGAACAGACTTTTGATCATTTATCATCTAATCATCCACTATATTTTTTCTTTCAAAAGCAAAGAAAGAAAAAATCAACAAAATGTACCTGGTGGAAGAACCAGAGGGCTATGTTAGGCTGTGAACTGAGCAAATGTAGGATAAATACATATAGGGATGACTCTGAGGTGCTTTGATTGGTGGAACAGATGCCATAGGCAAGATTTTGTAGACGGTTTTCTCAGCTCTCATAGTTTCCTTTGTGCAAATAGTAGGTGCATACACACCACAAAGGCAAGCAAAGGAGGTTTCTGCTTTAACATTGTTGTGATTCACAGGAAGAAGAAAATGTATATGGTGAGTGGCTGCCACTTGTGGACACTTTCTAAACATTCTATATCACCAGTTGTTGAAGATTTTTAATAGCTCAGGGTTTTTCATTGAAACTTTCTATTTGATAAGCTGATTAATCTTTCACTTAGAAAATTCTTTACCAACACAGTCCATTTAGTTTGATCTTCATCCTTCAGTGGTGATGGGGTTACGTTTGCATCAGCAGAATACAGCCTTATCTAGAAATATGTTTGTTCCTGACTTCCTAAAGGGCAGGTTTTCTAAAACTTTTCAGTTGCCCTCAAAAATTTAAGTAAGAAATGACAGCAGAATCTGTGACCTGGGCATCCTGTACAATATGCTTAGGCAAAAGATCTGTGATTTCCCAACTGTGAAAATAATGTTTTCTTGATGGAAAGGAATCTTAATTAAAGGAAAATAAAGCAGTAGTTAAAAGCAAATACTAAGGATAGGAAAAAGGTAAATAAAATTTCCATAACAAAAGTAAAATAAGGGACCAAAAAAGTGAATTCCAAAGTGGTTAGAGATAAAGTGCTTAATATATGTTGCAATGGGGGAAAAATATCCCAGATGAGACACAGATTCAATGGCAGATGTGGATAGTAAAACTGTGAGTGATACAGTAAAGGAAGGAGTAGCAGTAGTTACTTCTGTTGCAGTTTTTGACTAAAGCATGAGGATATATCTACCATGTGTAATGTTATAGATGTAATAAAGATGTTTGTCATCTATAAATAACAGGATATGTAATGGCATCTGCTAAAATAAACATTGTCAGGCCAACAGGTCATTTGACTCTGAATTAGATAGGTAAGTTTTCTGAATTGCTGAAGTTAACAAGTAACTGCAAGTCTCATTGTCCTACTAGTGTGGTTCCATGCCAGGAAGAGCTCCAGTGAAAAGCCGCTTTTTTTGCCTTCCTGAAGCTATCCCTGGTGTACTCCTTGCACTGTTCTCATCAGTGCCCATCTCTCTGGTGGCCAATCATTTCCCATGTGAAGTTGATAATTTCCAAATTGAAATAAATAGGGGTGTATCTGCACCCTGGGTGCTGCAGTCTTGGCTCGAGATTTTGTTTGAAATCAGTGATGAGCTTTGCAGTCTCTTTCCTCCCCCCACCCCATTCAGTTTTGGGAGACAGTAACTGCTTGGGTGTTTCCTGAGTCCTTCCTGTGTTGTCTTAATAGAAGCAAGCTATTTTAATCTTCTATGTCTTCATGGCTGACCAAGGGCTGTCTGCAAGCCAACTTATCTACATATCTCATTGCCATCTCTAAATATATTTCTATTTGTGATCAGCATTTGTGTGTTTTTTCTTTGGTGTGGGTTTTGTTTTATTTTGTGTTTTTCAAACTCTCCCTTGAGTGTTAAGTAATCAACAACTTGCTGTGGCTGCCAGAGCATCCTTACACAGCTGGTATTCCTTACTTCTGCTATTCAGATTAGTGGCAGCCACCTCCCATGGGATCCACACTGACAGGTTTCCTCTCTGATGGCTATCATAGTTGGAGGTGGTGGGTCTAAATAGCTGCCCTCCATCCCTGCTTTCTTGTGATTCAAAGTTAGGAAAAAGAGAAGATCATACATCATCATCCCTTGCGTAGGGAGGCAGAGGGCAGCTATATGAAGAAGTGTGTATCCCTGAGATTTTGGCTGCACAAAATTAAGTGTTGATCAGCACAGTGAGATCTATGCTGACTGCAGCATCTTGGGAATAAGGGTTTCTAGATTTGCTTTTTGTTTTCTAGGGTAACTTCTGGCTCCTATCACAGTAAGTCTGTGGCATTCCAGCATATTTTTATGTGAATTTAGGCACAGCTTCAGTGTAATTGGCAATTATCAGATATTTTTAGGGATTAAAAGTAGGAGCTCAGTTTTTTGCTGGGTTTCTATGTAACTTTACCAAAACTTCAGGCTCTGTTTCCTCTAATCTGTGTTTTCTTCATTATCTTTCATTACCTTTTTTTCTGTTTTCTTCTAAAATTGCATTTCTTAAATCTCTACTAAGTTGTCGAGGCTAGTTAGAGGAAGAAGGCTGTATGCTTGTCTCATGCAATTTCTGTATTGCAAATGTGGGTAAACCTAATGAAGAGAGACCTCTGTAATCATTGTACAGCAGCAGGATAAGGTTATATTTTATAGCTTTGACAGTTCCCTGGAAGGTGTCTATCTCTGAGGGGTGGTAGTTTTGAATCACAAAAGGATCTGCTTTTGTGTTTTTATAAAAGAATTATTGAACAGAATGGTTAGTATTGCTATCCCTGATGCAGTTTTTCAGTGTATGCACTGAGAAACAACCCTGCATAATAAATGCATCTAAAATTTCAGATGGAAAGCTCCAGCCTGAGTACCATGCCTGGAACAAGTCCTGATGCTATGAGACAGAAGATAGCAAAACAGCTATGATCCTTCTTTATCCTTCTGGCACACAGTACAAATGTTGCACTATATATGCACATAGGAGTAAGGAAATAGATTTATCAAACTTTGCTGTCAGGCAAACTCTGATGGATAAGAATAACATAAATACTCCAACGGTACTGTGGCTTTTTCTCACTGTCAGTGAGCATTATATCAATGCCAGCATAGATAAAACACTGCAGAGTTATGAATCCAGAATAGAAAAGCCCACCACTGTTGTTGTCATCTTCAGACTACCAGCTACTGTTTTCAATGGTTTTGATACCAAGTAAGCCATTGATTGTGGGGTAAAACAGAAGGCTTTTTACATAAATAAACTATACTACATTTGTTGACTAAGTATATTTTAATTTTAGGTCCTTGGAAGAACACCATGTTCATCCAAACATGGTAATTGGAGATCTTCAGTCAGATGAAGAAGATATCATGAACAGTTCTGATGAAGATGATGACACAAATTCTGATTCCAGCAAAGGGGAGCCTGATCCTCCAGAAGATAAACAGGTATCTCTCTTTAACTTCTGAAGTTATTAATCATTCCTGCTCTATTTTGTAAGTTGTAACCTGTTGGGATATTTTCATATAAAAGGCATTGAATTAACATAACTTTATATATTTCTTTTTTTTGTTATTTTTATTGTTTAGTGTTGGAGTACATTTCTAAAATTTTAACTTATATGTGCACATTAGCCTGATATTAAGAGGTCAGGTTTAGAAATAGCCCACTAAAAAATGTGTGTTGCCTGGCATATTTGTTCTTAACCTTTTCTGAATTGTGGAGCTGTAGACCTGCCTACCATGCCCATCTTACAGAGCTACATGCACAGATGGGTGCTTAAAGATCTTCATTTTTGAGACTTGCAAATACCTATTAATGAAGCTGTCTATGCCTCACAGATCCTCAAGTGCACAGTGTCTTTTACACTGAACATTTAATGTCAACCTTTGATTTGACAGCCTTGCTGAAGTCCAAGGAAAGGGGCTAGGTGAAGGTTGCAATGTCTCCTTCTGAAAAATCTCTTGGAAGCTGCAGTTTTGCTTGGATGGTCCTAATTCCAGGATCTTTGCCATGCAGCAAAGGCTGTGTCCCAGTAACCATTTCTGTGCAGACAGCTTTCTTGTGTTTGCAGGTTCTACATACTAACCTGCCAAATCACTGCTTGGGCACAGGAGGCAGTTTTTAATTCTTCCTTTTCAGTGGTATGGAACACAAAGGGCTCAACATGCCTTTCAGCATTTAAATTCCCTAATTCACTGCTCAGGTGCTGAGGAGAGACTGTTAGTGTATGCATGCAAGACCTGTTGTTGTAGGGTTGCAGAGCCACTTCTATGGCCCTTTCAGGAGTGTAAGTCACCCTTGACTGTTGGGGTTAAGGTCTGACCTTCTGCTAGCTTCTGTGAGTGCCAGCTCTGAATGATTTCCCCTGTTTTCATAGAATCATGGAATGGTTTGAGTTGTAAGGGACCTTAAGGATCATCTAGTTCCAAACCCCCTGTGATGGTCAGAGGCACCTTTCACTAGACCAAGTTGCTCAAAGCCCCATCCAACCCGGCCACCTTCATCTTATTTCTTCTTCATTTTCATTTTAATATTTCATCTTATTTTCATCTTCTTTCTTCCTCAAATGAGGAACAGGAAAACAATGCTAACTACTCAGAATGAAATGAAGTTTTGGGGGTCCTATCCCTGTCCTTGGGGATACCCACTTTCTTATTTCTTAGTCCTGGATTCCCTGGCACCAGACTGCTCACAGACCAATGCCTGGCCTCAGCATCAGTCCTGACAGCTCTCTTTCCTTTGATAGTAGTTATATTTCCTTCCTTTCCTAAGAAATGAATAAATAAGTTAAAAAAAAAAGGAAAAAAAAAAAAGGGCAATGAGATGTTTTAGTGCTAGAAGAGAAGACTTGATGATGAAGTCAGACCTAAGTGTCATTTAACCAAATCTTCTGAGAGGAATAAACTGGGGGAGGGAAAGAAAGTCAAAGGAAAAGCTTGTGCATGTGAAACTAAGCAGGACTGTATCAGAATAGAAGCTAACTTACCTTTAATGCCTATAGAAATGCCCTAAACCTTTAATGACAGAGTTTTAGAGAAAAGCATCCCCATTAGGAGGCTTCTTGGGCAGGTTTCATGGAGTAATTCAGTGTTTGCTGTGAAGCATCTGCTCATAGGCTTGCTTCAGCCTCCTGCAGCATGTGTAGCTGGCAGCTGGGTATTAACAACCAACTTCCTAACAGGAGAGCAGCTGCAGAGGAGAAAGAAGCCGTCTCTGCATCAGTCATCAGCTAGGCTTGTTTTTATTTTCTGTTACTGTGAGCATCTGGCTGTTTTGATGCTTTTTATCTGCTGGAGAACTTACAGGTTCTTTCCCAGTGCCATGCCTGATAGCCGCCCAATCTGCTATTAGAGACACTCTTAAGGTCCAGAGAATCTTTGGCTGAGCAAATGCAAAGTGGCCTTTTCAGTGCCAGCTGGTATGTGAAAAGTCTTTCAAAAGGGGTTGAAACAGACTGTGATATTTCACTTTGTAATTGTTTAGCGGTAGCATCTTGTTCTGAAAATACTAATTTTCATCTCATTTGCAACTGTCACATCTACAGTGATGGCAGATACCTTGCTCTGCATAACTGGGTTATTTGTGAATTCAGTCTTGTAGGGAGCATGTCAGCTGTGCTTTCTAAAGAGGTATGGAGGCCTGAGAATGGGTCTTAGAATCTCACCTGAATCGAATTGATCTGTGTAGATATGACTGGTTTTTGGAAATAAGTTTAATTTTAGGAGAAAAATCACAGCTCTGTGTGAAGATGTCTTTGTAATATATGAAATGAAGAATATAATAAATAAAGCCATCAAATTACTAAATTTATAAATTAATTTTATTAATTTGGCATTAGAGTAAAATGGGAAGTAATTTACTTTTTTTTTTTAATTTGAATATAACAATATCATTAAAACCAACCTATGAATATAGTTGGTTCTGTGGTTTGATTTCCAGCTCTTGAGACTTGTTCATAGTTTTGGAGAAGAGCTAAAACTCCAGACAAATCTTGCAACATTAGTGCTTATGAAGCAAAAAATCATATATATATATATAATGCCACCGATACCTGATTTTCTAGATAAACTATGAAAATAATGCCAACATTATACTACCATACTCAATACAGGCTCTCTGGGACTTCCACTGCACTTCTGGTGCATATCCTATGATGTTTGGTGCTCCTTGTCTGCGTTCTTTCTTTGCAGCCAATTAAAATGAAAGCCTGAATGTCTAATAGATGTGGTAACAGCTGGCAGCAGAGAAGCATATGGTAAACCATGAGAGCTGTAATGGAGAAAGGTGTTTTATGTGGAGGGAAATGGTACATAGGAGTTACGCTGTATAGGAAAGACAGCTGAATCCTGACAGATACACCCTTTTGTTATACCTGTTCCTTCTGTCTGATGTTGAACAATAGCATTCATTTTTGAAAGCCAAATGCAGTAAAAACCAGGATAATCATCTACAGTGTTTCAGGTAGATGACAAGGCTCACACTTCTACATCTTTGCAGTATGGTTGCTAGTTATTCCAGCAGCTCCTTTAATAGATTGTCAGAAGCTGACTTTTCAGTGTCATTTTTTTTTCCCCTGCTTTCTCCTTTTGTCTTCTTTTCCAGTGTATTTCTTTTGAGTGTATTTCTTTTAAGATGTTACTGAAACCCACTTGAGTTTACTGCAGATGTTACTGTTGCTGTATGAATTGGGGGCTATGTGCTGTGGGGGGTGTGTCAAATAATATAGAAATACTATCTGTACTATTGCTAAACAATAATTGTCACTTACTAGGGCTTCATTTACTATGGGCTTCAGTGCTTCCTGTAATAATTAAATAGAAAGGCTGATAGTGTTACAAAAGCTACTCTTAGCTACTATTGTTGTTTCTAGCTACAAGCTAAATTGATTTTCTCACACATCCTGAAAGGCCAGAAGATTTCAAATCTGAGACATCTCAAAGCAGTGTAAAACGTTTTTATTAGAAATAACTATTGAATTATTACATTGAGTTTGAGGAATTACTAGCTACAGTTTTAGTAGGTGCATACTATAACATACAATTTTATTTGCAGGGTAAGGCAGCTGGGAAGAAAACAAAGGTTTACCATATTGCCAAGGAGATCATGAGCTCAGAGAAAGTGTAAGTGCCAGTGCTATACTTAACAGCTACTCAATTTATTTTAATTGGGCAAATAAAATGTAACCATTTGCTTTTTCTTGCTTTTCTGCTAGGTTTGTGGATGTGCTAAAGCTCTTACACATTGTAAGTACCCCAAAAAAGAAGTTTTCCATTTATTTGATCTCTTAAAGTTCTATGTTTAGGCTTTATTGCAGTGAATGTGACTTTTTTTTTTTTTGCTGTGTCTACATATTAAAAACATAAAAGTTAATCTAATTAAGCATAACTTTAAAGTTTCAGATTTTATATAACGGAGGAATATTTTGATGGCTCCTTCTGCATCTCCTTAATTAATTTATTCAGTCTTCTAGATAAGCAGGGATGTTGCTTGAATATTGAAAATGGAATATATATCCATTTACATTAATCAGCATCATATTTATAAGCCAGCTTGTACCATAGCACCCAAAATAATTCTTTAATTAGAATAATTTATAAAGTAGTGGGGGGAGGCAGGAACCTTTAGAAATGTTGCATTAAAATAAACATTCATTAGCTCTAATGGTGCATCTATCACCATGGCAGTATATTTTTGGGGGCTACAGTTCTTTGACAGATGCTTGTTTTCTGATAACAGCTTCGACTGTAGTATGGGCAACGTGTTGTCCACAGCAAGGGTTAAGTATTTAATCCATGTTTATGCAAACCAGTCATCTGTTAAACATACTGTGTTGTGTTGAAAGTGATAATAGTAAATTAATGAAGAATGTAGCTTTCTCTAGCTCTGTTTTATGTTTTCTGCCAACTTATGTGATATCTGTGGAATAGTTTATTCCATTTTGTCACTCTATGAAGCACATGCATAGCGATTTTTTTAATTTCTTTTTTCCCTTGGTCAGTAGAAGTGGTTATATTGCAAACAGATGCGTTGGTCTCTCTCGGTCTCTTGAGAAGCATGTTCTGTGAAACGGGGAACAAAGGCTTTTATAGATGGATGTATACAGACCTGTTATACAGACATCTTTCAGGAAACAAAAACTTGCCACACCATTTACTGATTCCTCTTTTGCCTTCCATTTTAGTAATCGATTTTCTTGTTCTGGTCAAGCTTGGTTTTTAAAAGCTGGGCCAGGCATTTGCGGCCAATATATAATTTATATTCAACATGGATTCTAGTACAGAAGTCAAGCTTAAGTACTGGATAAAGGAAGAGAGTTATTCTAATGCGTCTAGACAAATCTAAGCTGTATGATTTTTATTATCATATTTTTCAGGTATATAAGTTATATCTTCAAGGTGTCTTTGCTTTTCACTGTATCAGTTCTTCAGGTAACATGCATGGTACTGCAAGAAAAGGGCGTTGGTGCTGAGTATGCAGGCAAACAGAGGAAGAATGTGGGAGAGGAAAGATAGTAGGGAGTTTAGGAAGTTTCTGGGACAAACTTCAGGCTGTCTGCACAGTGTAAATGTGCAATCCTATAGAATGTGCTTTGCTTTTTTTCTTAATGGATAACTCTCAACTCCCTTTGTGACAGTATGCTATTTTCTAGCTGCCAAATGAAAACCATTAGAAATGTTTTTGTTGGCTAGCAATATCAACACGTATTCAGCCTGATCTAGCAGAGGATGCTAGGCTAGGAGTCAAGGAAACAGTTTGTCCTCATCTTGTCCTCTGGCCTGCAGCAGGAACCTTGGTGATGTTGTTGTCGGAGTGGGCATCGGTTTTGAGGCTATGTGTGTGTGTGCATTCTTCATTAAATAAGAATTGCCACCCTTGAGAAAGGTTGAAGAAACACTTTTTTTTTTTTAATTTCCAATATCTACAGAGTGGCATGCCTAAGGATTTGTGTATGTTCAGCACAGACATTATTAATCTATTTAATCATATATTTCTTGTGGCTAATATTTGAACATTGATAAAACTATCCTTTTCATTTCACATGCACTGAACCACTTGGCTTATTAGCCTCACTGTCAGGATTACTAACTGCCAGGCAAGCGACCTCTGACAGATTTATGGAATGAAAACATAGATTCTCCCCAGGCTGGGCTGTTTTACCCATAGTAGAGATTTGTTTGGTCAGGGGAGGCTCAGTTACACCTTCTGAAACACCTACTGGTGGTTTTCCAAAGAGTAGTTATTGAAATTTACTAATTCCATTAGGGATAATCTGCAGTGAATAGTATTCTCCTCAGTCTGTTTTACCGCTGTGAGTTAGTGCAGCTCATGGCTCTTAGTATACAGTCAGGGAACAGGGCTGTTGATGCAGGGAAAAGGTTTTTAAGTTGCTACTGCTTAAAGCAGTTGAAGTGGAGTCTGAAGCAGTTGATAAAGTGGGAATGTGACTGTGAACTGGTTGCAAGTATCACTGATATTATTTTTTTTAGCATTTTTTTCTTTTAAATTGGTAAGTCAAGGTAGGTGGAGCACCATTCCCAAGATACAAGGGTGCCAGCCTGTTTGGACTCTGTTGCACGTTTTAAGTGTAACTGACTGCTTCTGTTAAAGACAGAATGCAAAAGTTCTCTAGAAAATTATAAACACTTGGGGACACTCAATAATATGTAATAAGTAGGTCATAGCAGAGATAAGGGACTTAACTGGCTTTGCACACTGATGCTCTCTCGTATTACTTGGTGAATGGTATTGCTTGAGGGAGTAATGAAACTTCAGATGTAATCTTGAATTCTCTGTATTTCTGGAACTATCGTAATGCTGTTTTACAGGACAAAATTCCAGTAAAATGCTGTTAAGAAACTCTTTGAAAACAAAGGGGCTTAAATCAGATCAGCTCATAAGTATGCCTCTTTGTGAGATAATTCATGCATGGTAAACAAGTGGGTAAACAAGGGTAAAAGTGCTGTTCCTTCCCTAAGGGCACTTGCAGGAAAAAAAAAAAAGGAACAGTGAACTGAATGTAAAACATAAGTGACGTAAGAGAAACAAGCTTGTTTGGGATGCTCGGTACCCAAAAAACCACCTAGTGTTCCTGGAAAAGGAGTAAGACAGGATTGGTTCCATTTGTACTTTTTTGCTGTGAGATTCTTTGGAAATGGTTGGCTTTGCACAAGTGAGAGGACCTCAGCAGCATCCTGGTGCTCTAGGAGCAAGCTGCCTGGCTTATTTATTTTAATTTCTTTTGTCTATTTTTGATCCAAATTTTGTTGGGTGTTTTTTGGGTTTGGTTTTTGTTTGGTTGGTTGGGTTTTTTTTTTCCCAAAACCCACAGCTCTTTTTGTTCTCCCATCCTTTTTGATTTCTTTTTCCTCCTGCTGCTGTGGTATGGCAGTAAGGCTTCTGGTTGAGTAGAACATGTTTTTTTGATAGGGGTCCTTCCACTGCAAGGCTGAGTGTGTAATTTAGTGCTGTGTGAGCAAAGAAAAGCCTGTGGGCTTTTGCCTGAGCTTTTAGAGTTTCTGATTTAGACCATTTAAACCTGTTCTGTCCTTACGAGGCCTCTGAGAGCAAGGAGTTTGTTAGGAGGCACCTCTAACTTTTCTGCAGCCACAAGATCAACCTCTTATTGAAGAAGGCAGGTAAAAGGTCACACTTCTTTGTTTCTTCTATTGTGTGTCCTTCTGGAGACACAAGACTGAGAAATTTTGGTGTAATATGTTTCAGTTTTCAGAAGACAATTGCAAAAGTATACAATATAATCTATATATAGAATCACAGAATCATCTAGGTGGGAAAAGACCTTGAAGATTGAGTCCAACCATTATCCCAGGACTGCCAAGTCTAGCACTAAACATGCAACTTTGTAACCGCTTAGTCTTTTTATACATTGTAGCCAAATGTTGTGAAAAATAATTCATAGTAGCTTTGGGAGAAGAATGTAATGTGTATCTTGAGAAATAAAATAGCTATGGGTTGTGAAGCAAAGGAAGTCCTGACCTCTGGTCCTGGCTTACAGCTGACCTACTGTTTGGCTGTATAAAATTCTCTCAACCTCAAACTCCTTTTCCTCCATCTGCAAAACTTCAGTATTTAACCAGTCTTTGCATTAATATGTTGATAAATTTTAGTCTATGAAGCGCTTTAGAATTGCTGATTGAGGCATTTGACAATGAATTGCAGCTGTAGTAATCTCATTAAGATGGCTAGTCAAATAGTTTTGGTTTGGAAGGAAACACTGTTCCACTACCAAGCCTATTCCTTGAAATAACGCTCTGAGATTATGCCACAGTCAAATCATTGACTATTATGAGAAATTAACCATTTTATATCGTTAAAGACTCATAAATGATTTTACTACCTGAGAAAACGGGTGTGGAACTACTTGGCAGCTTTCCAGAAGCAATCTCCTAATCTATGTTTGAAAAATGTTGTGATCCACACTTACTCATAGTCTGCATTAACTACTGTTGCTATAGTTTAACTGAACAGCTCATGGCTAATAGTCTAACTCCAGTTAAGACTGATCTTCCTTAGCCATATTCCTAGCAGTCATGTTTACAGTTTGTCACATATAGCAGCCTGGCTGTTCCCCAGAGTGTGAAACTTCCTCCCCTTCCCTCCTCCCTCCCGGGTAGGATGTGTGTATGTGTGTTCCTTGAAAAGCATCCAGGCCCAGGCATATTTTTTTTCCTTTAAATTAAACTGATATTTGAGCTATCTGCAGGTGTATTTAGCTGGGAGTTGTGTCTCAGCAGAAGGGATTATGGCTTGGTTTTGCTTTGCTGATGGTATGTTCTAGGAGAACGGATCCAAGATGAATATTGGTTGAAGCTTTGGGAGTAAAATATGTGACCACGTTTAGATCACGTAGTTCTCTCTCTTTCAGTTAAATTTATGAGAAGTTTTAATTTCACCCATATGAAGTTATCTTCATTCAGCACCTGAAGGTGTACTTAACTCACTCAGCAGCTGAGTGAGAGGTTAGTCTAGTTGGTACCTATTTCTGTTAACAACTAAACTTACTCCTTTGCTCCCTAGACTGATGTGGGCAGGTCACTTCGCTCTGTGCTGGGAATCATCCAGTGGAAAGAACTGAGATGGACTGACTCAGGGCATTTGCAGAGGGGAAGTGTGCGTGGGCTGGTCACACATGATTCACGACAGGGTCAGAATTATTTCAGATATCACAGCCCTTTGCTTATTTAAAGACACTGCAGTGAAGGAGGGGCAGGAGGAAACATAAGGTGGTGTCTTTCTCAAATACTGTTTAGAAATTGCACAGCTCTAGGGGGGGAGTATATACTTACAGCATAAATAAAATTCCCTAAACATTTTCCAGTTGGGAATGTTTTATCAGGCAGTCATTCAGCAACAGTATGTACTTAGAAGCCTTTGAAACTGCCTAGACTAGATTTTCATATGAACAAGTACCTAGCAGCATGCTATCTTAGTCTAGAATAAACTGAGATTGTTTCTGGTTTGGAACGAATGTACTTTCCGGGGATGGTAATGAGTGCCGTCTTCTTAAAGACGTTGCCTTTAAGACAGTTGGCTTTGCCCAAGCAGTAAAAAGGTGTATAAAGGATTATTATGGGACCAGAACATAATGTAAAACTGGAAACTGTAAGCATTTCAGGAAGTGTACAATGGCCTTCCTCCTTCTGAAAGGAAACATTGCCCTGGTAAGAAGCTGGGATGATTTGGGATACCTAGCATAATCTTTTGTTTTCTGGCATGTAACATATGAAACTTTTGTCTACAGTTGTAAGACTGGTGTTTTGCAATGAAATAAGCACATTAGTTCCAAAGCTGGGCAAGTTTTTTTTAAAAGAGGAAGATTGTAATTTTTGAAAGGCTCATTTTAAATTAGAAAAATCTTTCTTTACAATTCACTGTAAAGTATGACTGCACTGCTTCAAACAGAATATATTCTAGGACAACCTAAGTGACTGTCTTTGAACAGACTGATGAAAGTAATGCTTTTCAGCTGTACTATGTAGTACTATATGCTAAATATAGCCATATACAGATATATAGCATATATATAGGCTAAATGTTTGTAATACAAATAACTTCTTGCAGGTATATATAGGTAAGAGCAATGTATATCTTATTTGCAACAGCTATTTTTATTTAGCAGGGAATGGATTTAGTGTTAGTAGGAATTTGGTTCTGGTGCATTAAATGACTTACTGCAATTTCTAATTTCTGAGTCATTCACTTAGTTGTATAAAAAGTTGTCCATATCTGAATGCTTTTTACCCTTGAGAGTGAAATTTCAGGATTTACTTTGTAAGTTAACATATTTTTGCATTTGGTAATTAAAACAGACCTATTCTGTATTTTATCCTTTTGGATAAGGAATTCTGCAGAAGGCCAGTACCTTCAAGTGTAAGCACTGTTAACTCCAGCCTTGTTACAGTTTGTTTGACTTTTTCTACCCCCACTCCTCAGGCATGTGCTCTCTGCCTCCAACTCTTCAGTTTATCTCCAGATGAACTTGGCATGACAGTTACTTCACACCCACTGCCAGGTTAAAAATAAAGCTTAATACGGTTACAGTGACAAATGTATTGTACTGCTTCTGTAGTGAAGACTTAATAATTATAAAAAATAGATTAGAAGAAGTGTTGAAGTTTAGCTCTTTTGTTGTTTAGCAGGCTGGTTTGCATCATTTGAAAGCTTCACGTTATCTTTCTTCCCTGTGTTTCCTCTCTGCAGGGCTCCCTTCGTTTATTCAGTTGTGGAGGGGGACAGAGAGGGCGATGAAGCAGTTTTGGTTGGCTGTTTTAATGGTAGGGTCTTTCATGGTGTGATCCAAAGCCTTATGAAGCTGATGGACTTTGGATCAAGCTAGTTGAAAAATCAAATCTAGATTTGGAGAACATCCTGCAGACTCTTTGAAAGCTATATCCAGAAGTTAAATAGATGTTGTTAACTACAAATGACATTCCTGTCTTATCTGCTGGTGCTTAAACCTGGCTCCCTGCTCCCCTTTTATTGTTTGGTCAGGGAAGAGCCTGGGTTGTTGATTACACTACAGACAAAACTGCTTTTCTTTTCATCGTGTAATTAGCCTTAGAACATTCAGACAAAATTCTTGTTTCATCCCATGACAAAGTACATACAGTATATTGTGTGTGCCTGTAATGGGGGGGTGAGGGTGGGAGGAAGAGAAGGGATGGCATGGGAAGGGGGGAGAGAGAATATTATCATAATATGATGATGCATTTTGCATGAAGCTCTCCAGAATGCCTCATTTGAGCTTTTGCCATTGTAATTCCATGTATCATTTCAGTGTTAAGCGATGCCCTAGGGTCAGGAAAACCCATAAGATGCAGCTGGTAGTTAACCTATGTGTCACTAGTCTGCACAGAGGATGTAAACCAGAACATTTCCATATGAATAACGCCATCTGTTTTTTAACTCCCTTGTATTTAGTTCTCAGCCTTCCCCCATCACAGACATCACCCTGTATCTCCTTTCAGTTTCTTGTCATAACTCTGCCCAGTCACAGCCTTTGTGACCCGGAGGGTCACAAAGCAAGAAAGTGTGTCTGGAGCTGACGTAATGAGGAGAGAGGGCAGGGGAAAGTTGAGGCAGCTTAAGTCTGAGAGACCCTAAACAGTGCCAGATGCTGGACTGATGAGATAGCTAATAAGACATGTAGTGGTAGACCTTGGGAGGGGGAAACCTGAGGAACGTACAGATTTTCAAAGGCAGGTGTGGCCCTCATGCACACTTAAAATATAACTCATCGTTGTACTTAGGAACGTGCTGTTAGTCACCTTTCTCAGGATACCTATAGATCGTGCACACAGTCAGGTTTCAGCAGACCACAGACTCAAAAAGGGCTATTACAGATTGTCTTTTTTTCACTGTTGCTCAAATTCAAGCAAGACATGATCATACAGCATGCCACCTAATTTGGATTTTCTTTTTGGTCAGTTCAGGTAGTGTTGGTTTTCATGTGAAATGCTAATGGCTAACCTTTTTTGGAAGTTTTGTTTGCATGTGATCAGGAAAAATACCTCATGTAACGGATATTGGGTTTCAATGTGGTGCAGTCCTGGCCATACTGACTTGTGTGGGGCCAGGATTTTAATTCTAAATAGTTTGATGAGGGCCAATAAGCCTTGTCTGTGTCCTATTGGGAGCTCATATAGCATAAAAATGCTATAAGATCATCCTTCAAGTGCAGGCAGGGTTTTCCCCCGTCCTTGTAATGTTTTGAATATACCAGTGTTGTTTCTGATCATTATTAACATTTGTAATCTCACGGCTCCCATATGTTGTTACTATATCTTTTTGTTAATTGTGATCTTTTCTGTATATAGAAAAGCAGCTACATATAGTAATTCTTTGTCACCCTACATTTTTGTCCAAAAGGCACATCTTCTAAAAGAGCATTTATAGATGACTTATGAAAACTAGTATGATTTTAAAGTATGATTATGATTGTATTAGCTGATATAATATTTCTTCTTTTTGACCCAAATATTAACAAGAAGATACTGAAGGCTGCTAACACCCTTGCCAGATACAAGATATTTACCCCCTTAGTTTCCTCATTATATAGTACCAGCACATTTCTTAAGGGCATGCTGTAAAAATAATAACTTCTATATTATGCATACAGGAGCAAAAACGTAAAGCTCCAGCATCAAACCAAAGGGATTAAGGCTGTCCCAGGGGAGTCAGTTGAAGCTGCAGAGAAACATAACCCAGATGGTACCTGCCCTGCCTTTGGTAATAGGGAGCAGCGCCTGGAATGTCTGCAGAGAGAACCCATTGTCTGTGTTGGTGCTTTGAAGGCTGTTCACTCATGGGAAGGGGGGGTTTCTGTCCTCTTTGTACTCCGGCAGGATTTCCGGGACGCTGTGGCGCATGCCTCTAGGCAGCTTGGAAAGCCAGTGATTGAGGACAGAATCCTGAATCAGATCCTGTACTACCTACCTCAGCTGTATGAACTCAATCGGGACCTCCTGAGGGAACTGGAAGAGCGATTATCTCACTGGTGACTATCAATAAAGAGATACCACTGCTTTGATGTTGTTGAAATTTATCTGTGGGGCTGATGTGACTCCATGTGGCATGGTTTGACTCTTGTTTGTGTTTCATGCACCTTTTTAAATGACAGAATTGACTTTGACAGGACAGGAGATAATTTTCCATTGAGGTGTACTTTTTGCTATTTAGATGTATCCAGAAAGGTGCAATGGTGAGTGCATGTGTTTAGCAATCACACTTTTTGTTTTAAAATTTCTTTTTTAATTGAAAGTTCTGATTCCTGCATGGGCACAATAAGTGGACTGATTTCATTATAGGAAAATGAGGCTGTCCTGAAGACTGGTTTGCATTTAAAGGTAGTTGAGATGTAACCAGACACAAGGCTGATTGACAGCCTCAATCCCATTGAAGTCCATTCTCAGTTATGTTGGTGGGTGGATCTAAGTGATCTATACAAAGGTACTGAGATGGATAAAGACTGTAATCCCATGCTTGCTGTTAAGGGGTGGAGACTATTTCTTGAAGTTCAAAGATCTGTCTCCTCAGAAATCCAACTTGTACTAAAGGGTTCAAGACCATTCTATACAGACTGGGTATTAAGTGGTTTTCATCTAACGCTAAATCAGTGTGTCAAGGTGTGTCTGATAAAGCTTTTCAGAGTAGCTAGTGAGATGGATGCTTATCTGATGAACTGTAAGCTTTTTGTTCAGAGCATACACTAGCACATCTTACTGTGAAAAAAAGAAGGTAGATGTTTTGCTGTAGGCTTAAGATGCATGTTCTTTTTCACTCTAATTACTCTGTTTTTTGTTCTAGGCTTGAACATCAAAGAATTGCTGATATATTTGTTAAAAAGGGTCCCTACTTAAAGATGTATTCAACTTACATCAAAGAATTTGATAAAAACGTTGCACTATTAGATGAACAGTGTAAGAAGAATGCAGGTTTTGCTTCAGTAGTCAAAGACTTTGAGGTACTGTAGTCTTTTGTAAGATACATCCCATTTTGTGGCTTTTCAGGAGTTGTGATCCTCCATAAGGCTTTAGACTATCCTGAAGTTTATTTGCTTGTTTATTTGTTTGGGAGTTTTTAGTGGGATTTTTGTGGCTGGTTTGTTTTCCTGCAGTCTTGGTTTGAGACTTAGTAGGATAGAAGTGGAAAGAAGTAAATTCAGGTTTTGTCAAGCAGCTAGTGATTTTGGCTACCACTGTGAGATATGATAAAGGACTTTGATTTTCACAAAATGCAGCACTTGCTACAGATTATATCAAACACACATTAACTCAGACAGGTTTTTTTAGTTTTATCTTACAGTCATACTGTACTCCGATTAACTGTCCTATTTTACCAGGTTGATTTCTCTGCCACATCACAGGGCAGTAGCTTACACATGGGAGTGGTGTTTCATTTGAGCTGGAAACATAAAAAAGTGATATTTTTCATCAGCATATTTCTAGAGGTTTCAAACCCAGCACAGGCGGAATCGGATGAAAGCTGATTCATTTCCCTAAGAGCGTTGCCAGATTTTTACATAACGCCCTTAAAACAGAGAAGAGGTGCAAGTGCCCTGAGCACATGATCCATGCAAACTTTGAATTTACCTCTTGTTACATGGGCTTCCCCTTGGGCAGGCCCTACCCCTTCGGTAATCCCTACTCTGTTTGCTTGCAAGTGGTTCAAAGGGCTGTTTACAGTGGGCAAGGGAAGATCTTGAGGCAGAGTTAGCCAAAGACAGGAAGAAGATAAGTGGCCTTTATAAAGATTCCATGTTTCAGATGCACATTATTTTGAATGCAAACTCAAGATAATTAACATTTTGGAGGCAAGGATCTTTTAATTCTGTGTTGTCTTTAGAGGTGTGAATTAACCAAAACCTTTGCAGTGAGCACTATCTCCTCTGCCTTTCTGCCTAATGAACACTGACTAATTACAAAGGGGCATGTTGCCCTTGCCGCTGGTGTTTCCTTTTTTTTTCTGGGAAGCTTCACCTCTCTTCCTTATAAGCAAAAGCACCTGTTTTGAATCCACAGAGTACGAGTGCTTACCATACTCTTTCAGCACATGATTAATTTTGCATGAGGTCTTCCCCACAGAAATGCTTGCTCTGTAGTGTAGTGTTTAACTCCGTGATAGTCACATCTTTTCAAGATAAAGCTTATCCAGTGTAATCGGTAGTTGATTGTAGGTATGTTTTCTTGTGCTGGAATTCTTGACTGCCACATAATCGGTACTTATGTTGGGTGTTTCTTGCAGATGAGCCCCCGCTGTGCTAGTCTGGCCCTGAAGCACTATCTGCTCAAGCCGGTTCAGAGGATTCCACAGTACAGGCTCTTGTTGACAGGTACTGTCAAACTCTTTTACAGGTTTAAGAAGAAGCCAGTCTTCACATGTTCCAGGAAGCTTGTTTTTAGGCAGCTGTGTTTGTCTGTAAAGCATGCTTATCTGACTTAAGATATGTGGCGCTTTTAAAAAGGCAGTATGGGTTTAGAGGCTTTCTTTGTTAATATTGGTTGCAGTAATATCGATGCTAATATTCTCAACACTGTGGTGTGTTCTCTGATGGTACATTCAGCAGTACTTAGAAAACATTAAACCTGTGGGGTTTTTGGTTGTTTCTGTGGTAATAGAAGCCCGTAATTTCCTTAGAGGGTTGGAATGCTCCTGTTTTGCTTTGGGGTTTGTTTTTTGTTTTTGTTTTCTGTGTGGGTTTCAGGTTTTTTGGAGGGACTGGTTGGGTTGGTCAGGGTTTTTTGGTGAAGGAGAAATATAACATGGAAAATTGGAGCTCAGAGAAGGAAGTGAAAGAAGTCTATGCAACTGTGAACTTCTGCAAGTAGCTTCTCCATTTCTGCCCCACCCAGGTGTTTTGCCTGTAAAATCCATTCTCTTTTAAAGGTAAAACACGTGTTTTTAGTGTACATTTACCACTAAGTGCTTAAGGCTTGTTAGAGGGGCATTGGAGGCTGAAGAGATGGTTTGGGACTGGGAAATCTGGGCTCAATACCCTGCTGTGGCACTGGCATGTTTGGGTGACCTTGAGCAAGTCATCTCCATGATGCAGTGCTTTCTTTTCTGTAAAAGGAGAGTAATGATAGAGGCCTCCTTTGTGAAGTATTTTGAGATGCGTTTGTTGTAAGAGGGGGATGGCTCCTGTAAGGATTTGGAAATACTTAAGGCATTGTTTTTGAAAGCCATTGCTTCTTGATGAACAATTTAAAAATAGCCTCTGTTTATGTAGTAACTGCAAAATAAAATGCTCTGTGACCTTTTTTTTTGGCTCTGTAGCAGCTTGTTGGCATTTACCCAGCAAGTACTTAGACTAGTGATGCTGTGAGAGATACAGACTTAAGTGTTATACAGCAGTTACCAAGTTACTAATGTTGACTGTTTTCATTTTAATCATCTCATTAAAGTCACAGTTGTTGAAAAAAGAGTGAAACCCCCTTATTAAATAGATTATTTTGTAGGGGGAAATCTTAGTGACTCTTATTGATTAAATCACACCCTAAAACAGCATTTGGTGAGTTGCTTTATCTTAAAACATCCAAAATCAGCAGAGCTTTGGATAAGTTCAGAAGTTTATATTTAAAAGGTTGAACAGAGGATCAGGATGCAGTAAATGCCATTGTCAACATACACAGCGAAGTGAGAGATGTCCTGGGTGAATGGCACTGAAACAGAACTCAGGTGTTGAAGGGCAATTACTTGTGATCATTACTGTGGCTAGAACAAGCTGGTTTAGACCTGAAAGAAATGATTCTGTAGTGATGGGGGTTGCTGTGAGTGTCCCCAGTCTGCAGACCTTATTGTGGCTGCCCAGATTTAAATGCACCTGCAAATGCAGTTGACAGGAATGGGATTGCAATGCTGGCTGCTGATTGAGAAAAATAATTTCTTTTGTTCAATGCCAGCATTAAAAGAGATCAGGCTAAAAATTTAATTGTGCTGGGGCTGGAAGTGTTATTTTGGATCTGTTTCATTTTCAGTCTGTTCAATCTATCATGCATTTTTGTCATCCTTGAGATTCTCCCCCTTGCATATCTCTCTGTATGACCCGTCTGCTCTGTTACCTTGCAGCACCTCTGTGTAAGATTGAGCAATCTGTACATAAACTTGTGGTGCAAAACGTTCAGAGGGCACACAAGACACTTGGGTCTATTGTTGCAGTGAGTGAGATGCAATGATGCAGCAGCTGCCCAGGCTGAAAACACGGGGGATCTGTGGGCAAGGGAGGAGGGAGCAGTGGGTGAGTGCAGAGGAGCAAAAATAATCCAGGAAATGAAGCTGCTAGGCTTGAGTCAGCAGGGATTTCTTCCTATTTAGATGTTCTGTGTCAGTGGGACAGCTTTGTACTGGTAACCTGCTGCTACATGGTCACATCACAAGATTGTCGCTGTGGGCTTTGAAGTGGAGTTACTTTTGTGCTAACAAAAGCAGGAGCAGGTGGACTCATATAAATCAGTCAAGGAGAGGCACAGCTCAGCTGTGTTTCTGCTTAATTATACAGCTTCTCCATCCAGTAAGTGAGCTTTCACTTCTTCACGTACTGGCAAATACTGGGTCTGGGGAGAGGTTAATTAGAAGCCTCTGATTTCTAATGGAAATAAAAGAGAGGTGATTCTTTCCTCCCGAAAACTTCTGATTTGAGTAGATGACTTGAGACTGTACGGTATGAACGGTCTCTTTGTTGTATGATAAGCCTCTCTTTTTCTCAACATCAGGTTTGCAGAGAGTCTTGCATTATCCTTGACTGGAGTGTAGTGAGGAGAGGCTGAGTGGTTGAAAAATAAGCCTTTGAGCTCACTGCTCCTTTGCAGGTCAGAAGGAGAGTTGTCAGACTTCAGGCCAGTTACTCTGTTGGGGAAGGATTGCTTAGAGTTTAACTTAATAAAATTAGACAACCTGAAACGAAAAGTAGTTAATGAAGCAGAAGAGAACTTCTAGCAGGAGTTCCTGCTAGAACCTCAGCAACACGAAAGAGAATTACTGGCTGCTGTCAGGTAGAGGCAGGGCATAGGGAAATTTTGCCACAGGAATGGTATGTTTCTGTGTTGATTTTTGTTGTGTTTTGGGATATCTAGCAGAGTTATGAATTTTAATTTCTAAGGCTGCCTTTCTGAAGGTATGCTTAAAGGCTTCCTAGTCTGAACAACTAAAGCACATTGAAGAGGGGAATTTTTTTCTGGCAAAGACAGTCAATACAATTCCACCTCGGTATTTGACTTCTGTGTTTATTTTATCTGGGAATATTTTTGCTAATTTTTTAATGTGATGTTATTCCTGTCTGTGAAACCCACTTGTCTGTATAGTTTAAGCCACTACCTCCAGAAGGTTCCTGCAAGCACAGAATTTACAGTGTGTATTCACAGAAGAGACTAAAAATATCTGTTCTAATGCTTCTCTAAAGCAGAGCTTTACTATGAACTGAGGTCCACTTACCAGATATACGTAGGGAGTGTCAAGATCAAAATTATGTATTTATCACTTTCAGGATTTTACAGTTTTATTGACTGCTTCAGGCTTGTAATGCAAAAACCGCCATTTTAAAATACAGAGTTTTAAATGAATATTCTTTTGTTAAAACCTCTGATTTTCCCTCTTCCATTGGCTGATGTAAAATGGTGGTTCGGGGACCATGTCATAAAGCACAAATATGTCAGGATGCAGTTCCCATGTTAGGTCTCTGGGTTTAAGTTTCTAGTGCAATTACTTTGAATATTAAATCAGATGTCTCCATGTACTAGGGGCAGTATCTGAGAGTGCCAGCAGTACATTTGCAGATGTGTAAATTATACCCACCTTACCTCTTGTTCTTAGCCTACAGAGAGGTGTGTGGTTGGCAGCTTTAACAAGCTGGTATCTCTGTATAAGCTGTAGGGACTCATACTGGGAGGTTCCCACTGGAGTCCTTTGTGCTGGCCCCGATGAAGGTCAAGCTGAAATTGTGAAGTTTTAAGTCGTTTGCTTTATGGTGGAGTCCCAGGAGTGCTCTGCCTGGGCAGCATGGCACAGCTCTGGCTTGAGAGAGCACCCACTGGCAGGCCAGGAGAAGGCAGCTTGTGTCCTGTGTGTGTTAGGGTCCTCCATGTTAAACCAAGTTAAAAGCAATCTTCTCAGTTCCTCTCAAAATACCTCCTGTCGAATTTTTTTTTTTTATTTCTCTCACACCAGCTTTTTATCAGCATATTTGAGGTAAAGTAAGATGAGTTTTGCTTTTAATGGAACATGTGTCCACCTAAGTATTGCACCACAGTGTCTGGTAGCAGCTGCAGCACAAGATCTTGAGGGATGTGAAGGATGCGGATGAGTATAGCTGGAGAGGTTTTGGTGGCAGTGTCAGACTTGTCTTAAAAAGATCACACGTTGACCAGCGCCTGCTAATGATCAGAGAAGAATCTGCAGAGAGCAGAAGGCAGTGGGTGTTCTCACGTCCCAGCCAGCCAGACCTCCCAGTATTCCCTCCCCACTTCCCTGCAAGAGATCCCAGCTGGTTCCTCTTCCCTCACTCCAACCTTCTCTTGAATCCTCCCTTAGGTCTTTGCCAAAAAATAAGATTTCAGTGCCAGGTATTCATCTTCCTGTAGTTCTGGTGCTCTCCAAGCTTTCATTAACTGTGACACTCTTCACAGCACTTCTACTGCAGAAACATGTCCCGTAATTCCTTTCCTTTTCTTTTGATTTTTTTATTTACATAAGGAAAAGCTTACAGTAATACACTGAGCGGTCTCTGAGGGGCATGCATGAAGCAAGACATCTCATGAAGGCAGGAACAATTGGCTCCTGATCCTTCTTGAGTAAAAGAATGAATTTGGGTAGGGCAAGCATATGGGAGTTATTTCACTCCTACATGAAACTTGTACAACTGCAAAGCTAAAACTGAACACTTGCTAGAGCACATACAATTAGTTTTCTGTAGGTCTGCCAGAATCTTAATACCTCATTTAAAAGCTAATTATAAATCAGTGTTTGTTGATATTATCAATCTGACATGTATATTTCTCTGAAAATTTCTGGTTTGGTTTCTGTCAATACGAAGCAGTTCAAAGCTGTAGCATGTAAAGAATAGATAGACTTTTTAATGAGGATATATACGTTAATCTTTAACAGTATATTGTAATTTTGGTGAGCTAGACACTACACCAGGGAATGGAAACTCGAGGGGGATGTTTTCTTGTGTAGTCATACACTTGGAGTTAATTTTAGCGAGGTAAAATAGATTTTAAAACTGCCAACACTTTAATGGATTGAGGCTGCCACCTCGTGGCTGAGGAACTGAACTTATAATTTATAATCAAAAATGCCTATTTGAACATCGGGGGTGGGGGGAGGTCATAATTGTGAAATCTTGCACTGCCCCGAGCAAGATATCACAATAGACTTCCATCATAGAAATGCTAATTTTCCTTTTGTAATTACTTTGACAGATTTAAAAGTTTTAGCAGTAGATCTTTGTGGCACAGATCTGCCTGAAAAGCAGACTTCCAGGAAAAGGGTGCTTTTTGCTAGTTTCTGGTGCTGTTTATTTCTTTAACAAAACTATCTCTATTATTATTTTTTTCTTTATACAGATTATTTAAAGAATCTTTTAGAAGAATCTGCAGACTATAGGGATACTCAAGGTAAACGTCTCTTTAGATAAAAGGAATAATAGATTATGTACATATGAAAATGTATCTAAATTTTAAATGCATGCAAGACACTAAGCCAGTAATTAGAAGTGTTTTCTATTTAGTTCTATGTTTCTCAGCAGAAATACTGCATGTGTTTCAAAAATGTTTCAAGATTGCAGTTGTATCAGCTCACCCCTGAGTTGAAACCAGGAGATACAAATGAAGTTGAACAGGCAGCTTAAGCAGATATGCTGGGCACTGCTATTGAAAGAAGCAGTCCTTGCATTGGTAAGACTTTTAACGACAGGCAGCCTGGTCTACCAGCTGCTCTTTCCCCCAGCTATGGGCCTTTCTGACTGCCTCTGTCTTTGTGCCAGGATAACCATTAGTGTGGTGGGAGTGAACAAGATCAAGGAGCTGCTCTGGGTTATATTTAACCTGAGGAGTTCCCCAGTTTGGCTTGTCACAAGTTGCACAAACACAATTGACTTCCGCAACTTTGCCTGCATGTGAGGGGAAAAGATGTAAGAGGAAATGGGAAGGAACAGTTGTGATCAAGAGGACAGTGTGTTTCATGGGAGTTTGGTATTAAGCTAGTTTAGCTCTAGTATAGTGGTGCAGTGCACATTCAGACTGTTTCCTTCTTCCATGTGCATACCTCATTAGTTCCAAAAATGCTCCCAGGTAACGTCTCTGTTTTGTTTGTGTGAGCTCCTGTCACTTATTTCAGTCTCTAGTGATATTTGTGCAAGCCCATTAGGAAGGTTGTGCAGATGCAGTTGACTGGACTGCAATAAAGGAGTGTCTTCAGTACACTGAGCCAAGTTTGCTTTCTTATAGCTTTATATGCTGATGCAGTGCCATACATTTTTTGAGTAACTATCTTCCTTAGGACATTTAGACATGTTTGTTTTAGTATATTGAAAATATAAAAAAATATTTTAAATGATTAAGAGATAGAAAAGTTTGCCTTGCATTTCTTATGGCTGTTAACAATCCAGTGCTTCCACTGTACATTAAATAACTGACCACTTGAAAAATTAGCAACTTTATCATTTTATTAATAAAATAATAATAAAAAAATAAATTAACTTTATTAATGAGCAATATGTTTTATTTTACGTTTTCCCGTAATTTCTCCAGCTTCTGTGGTTTTTCTAGTTGTAACTTCCACAATATTTTTCTCTCCCTTCTTACATCAAAGATAAAAGCAGCAGCTTAGTTGTAACAATAACAGTGTTAGCTTTATGCATTTGACATGTTCCACAGCCTAGCTTTGAAACCGAGTAAGAATCCTTACTCGTCAAGTTTTTTCTTGTGACAATTAAGCTTAACTTAATCTGACTTTGCTTAGTTGTTTAATTGAGTTAGGGTCGGGGAGGGGAAGACCAGGTTTAGTGATGGTTAGTACTCTTGGAAAAAATCCCCAATAACACATCTTCCTGATGGCCTTCACTTGAACAAACTACTCCAGCTAAATGGTATAAGAAATGGAATGCACTTCCTTGCCAAAACCCACTCTGTTTATGGACTTTGGCCCTATAGATTATTTTCTGTTGTTGTTTAGATTTGTTTAGTCTTGGCTGTATAAGTAGCCCTGAGATTCTGGAGCATTCCCTTCAATAACCAGAAATTTTTCTCTAACATTCTTCACACTTTCTTGAAGTAAGTCAGTAAAATTTTAGGTTTTTAATAGATATAATAGCTGATAGATGAAGGAAATTATAACAAGAACAACCAGGTACTCATTCCTGTCTTTGTGAATTTAGCTAAATTTCCCTTCATTTCTTTCAAGTGAATGGGAGCTGGTGGAATGTTTTGGCTGGAGCAGCTCCAACATTTCCTAGTAGGAGACCACCAGCTATTTTTCAGCAGGCTCAGCTGACATCATGACATCTATATCTAAACTTAAATTTTGATAAAATATTTGATATATGCTATGCCTTTAAACTGTTTGACTCATGCTTGCATTGCCTTAGTTAATGGAAACAAAAATTCTCCTTAGATTAATTTAGGATCTTTTTTCTGTATCTCAATTTATTTTCTTGTATGCCTTCATGACTCTCTGAACCTTTCAGTTTGAAAGGTGCACCTTTTAACATGCTTTCTTCCTGAATATTAACTCAACAATAAGGGAAGTATATGCATTCTACAGTACTAATACTGTAATGATTATCTGGGAAAAAACCCAAGGCCTTGCTTTTATCTGGTTTAGTAGACTTCTCTGTGCACTTTTAAGCAAAAGTAGTTTCTTTATTTGAAGTATTTCAGTTACTGAGAAGATGCTAGATACTTTAGAGACCACATCTTATCAGAGCAGTTGTTCCAGCTTTCAATTAAATTAATCTTTTTTTCTTTTCCTGCTTCAGTCAATTACAGGTTTTTGGATGAGAACCTTGGATGAGTTCTCTCTCATATACACTCACTGTTTACATAATCATTTTATGTAACCTCTTTTCGCAGTTACATCATAGCGTATATTACAATCAAGTTGCTAGTTATTGAATATCAGTATTAATAAAATCTCTTGTCTTTGGCAACTCTTCCCTTTGAGAGATTCTTCTCTTTTTTTTTCTTTTTTTTTTTCTTCTGGTATTAAAAGTTTTACATTTAGAAATTTGAACTTTATACTGTTATCTTGAGGTGCAACAAAACTAAAGGCAGAATAAAGAAATCACAAAGATTGAGATAATTTTTCTAAGTAGTCTATGACTGGCACTGGAGACAATTGTTTAAAATGGAAAAAATTTAATCTCTGCATAGTCTCTGTTAAAATGTTAACTTTTCTGCTGTATGCCAAGACAGTGAAATTAAAGTAATTCTTTATGTGATAATCTAGAATTTCATTTTGCTTTTATACTGTTTTGATTAACTGTAAGAAATGATTGGCACTGCTGGTTGAAGCATGACTTGCTAGTGCACTTATTAAACCGTGATCCAGACTCTGGGATCTATGGGAAGTGCTTCTGAAGGCAGTGACTGGTTTTTGAATCTCAGCGTGTTGTGGAAGAGCAATATTGTACCCATGCTTTACAAGATACTAATGCTAACAGTCTGTATAACCTAATCACCATCTCTTCATCCTTCAGATGCTCTAGCTGTTGTCATAGAAGTTGCAAACCATGCCAACGACATCATGAAGCAAGGAGTAAGTATTTTGACTTACAAAGCTGGTTGACTAAAACTTTTTTCTTTCAAATCACGGGTGCAAGGGCAATTACTTACCTTTTGCTTTTTCTCCCTGTAGGATAACTTTCAGAAGCTTATGCAGATTCAGTACAGTTTAAATGGACACCACGAGATTGTACAGCCAGGAAGGGTAGGTCCTCCAGATGGCATTCAGCAGATTGCAGTAAAAGTGCAGCACAGATGATATGCAAGCAAAGTACAGAAGCTGGCATATACCAAGAAGAAAAATGGTCCATCACTTAATTACTCAGTTCTAAAAGTCAAATGAATATTGCTTCTCCATATGTGTGGGGTTTTTTTAGACATTTATCTGATGAAAACTTACAATTTTTAGAATGTCATTCCTTGCCAGGTCTTGCAGGCAGTTTATTTTTCCTCAAGCATGGTTTCAAGTGTGGAAAACTAATGCAACCATTCACACTCACTTTTAGAGAAACCTAAGAGTGAACAGCCTTTCTCAGAAAGGGGGTCTTGAATCCCAAAACTTCTGCAGCACCTCTAGTGTAGTAGTAATAACCATAATCATAATAAGAATGATGATGATGAAGTCAACTCATCTGTACAGCTTGTGCCATGTGAAGCTAGGCTTCAAATGTCCTGTTTTAATTTGCTAGGTCTTTCTGAAGGAGGGAACACTGATGAAGCTGTCCCGGAAGGTCATGCAGCCACGAATGTTTTTTCTGGTAAGACACTGTATATGTTGCTGTGTACCTAACACTAATGTAATTTTAAGTGGTTGAAACATGTACCGCGAACATATGTAGCTAACAAGTTCTGGTAATGGATAAAATGACCAATTGTTGCTGTGTTACTTGCAGTTTTAATTTGGAGAGATCACCCATTAGCATATATGCTAATTTTAATAGAAAACTGTTGATTATTAAAATGCATTGTTTGAACAAGGCTCATTTAAAATTTGGGCACTTTTATTGGAAGATGTTATCGTGGTAGTGCAAAAATTAACACAGTTATTCCATCCCTGTTAGCTGTACCAGATTGTAAAACCTACAGCTCCATGGTTGCTATTGTACCCTTCTCTCCCTGTCTCCCTCCTTTCTCCTCTCTCCTTCCCCTGCACAAGCCTGCTTGCATCCTGAGCAGAGCACTGGGCTGGAAGTTAAGTGCTGGATTCTCTTCCTGTCTGCCGCTGTTTTGTTTGGAAACTGCATCCCTGAAGTTTCTGTTTCCACTTGAACATTTGTTTATCCCTTTTATTTAGATGGTAAGGCAACTGCTGCCCTGTGTAATCTGTGGCATCGTTGTTGCATTGTAGTTACCATAGTACAAATAAGTATTTCCGTAGGCAGTCATGGAGGATGAATTCTAAGCTTGCAAGTGACTGTCTTATGCTCTGGAGATTGTAGCATATAAAGCACTGAGATAATTGCAAATTCTATCAGCTAAGGTAATACTCTCAAAATCTGGTGCTGTGTTGAGCTGGACTTTCCAAATCAGATGTTTATAAATCTGAGTAGATCTAGCTTGGATTTTATTTGTTTTAGTTTTGGAGGTGGCGAGTTTTGGGGTATATGGGGGGGGGGATTTGAATATAAATATATATAAATATAAACACTGTGCAGGCTAATGTTTATGCCTTTAGACACTTAACCAGCAATTTTTCCACTGATCATGTGAAGGCTTGTGGAACATTTGGTTATTTTGCAAAGAACCTCACAAATGAGGCAGTTCAGTTTTCTGGTCTGTGTTTATGTGCACTAGCTGAAGTTTGGATCCATTTGTTGAACAACAAATAAATCTCAATAGCTGTCCAGTAAGTGCAGTGAATGAAGCCAAGTCTGGTGGAACAGGAAATAAACAGTAGATGCACGTTTAAGCTGGTAAAATTCACATGATACATGCGGACAAGTGTGTCCTTATAAGTATAAATTGCTAATCTTAATTCTGCTGTCTCTGAGTTTCTGGAGTATTTTGCTTTGTTTGAATGCTTAATTCTAATATTCTTTTAAAGTAGCTTGTTATACAGTACAGCTGTGTACATGAGAAACATCTTTGTCCTTTTTGACAGCCTGTTCTTTGACATCCGTGCACTGTTTAGTCATGTGCCAAATGTGTATTTACACAAGGATGATATAAATAGACACCTATTGTTATCTAAATTCATACACGAAAATGTTCTTGGATTCTAAGTGGAATAATAGGAAGTAGAAGATGCCCTTCTGGACAGTTGATCTCAATGCTGTATGAGTTCTGTACTTTCAGTAAAATGCATCTGAAATTATCTGTCTCTAAACAGTCTTCAGTCATTAAAAAACACTGCTTCTGTATTACAGTTCAATGATGCCCTGTTGTATACAACTCCAGTTCAGTCAGGGATGTATAAACTTAACAACATGCTGTCGTTGGCTGGAATGAAGGTGAGCCACTTGTTAAAAGAGTCTGTCTCCAAATCTATTTAAACTCAGGCCTTCAAGTGTTCAAAACACAACTATGTCTATTGTTGGAAAGAGATTTAAAGATGTTTACGTTCCAGAGGAGTCCTACAGGTTGAATGTTTCTTGCATAGTATGGCCTGTGGGATTGCCATCTAGGTTTCCCTAAAAAACCTGTGTTGTTGCTGCAGGATGATCTCACCTGCATTTCATCCAGTATTGGCCTACTCTGGAACAGTCTGCCTACTTCTTGAGATTGCCTCTCTTTTGCTTTGTAACTGCTTTTTATTGCCCACATGCAGAGCTTGGGCCTGTGAAATCTCTGGTGGATTAAATCTCCGTGGTTTATCAAGATCTGATAGTGAGGGGAGACATGGCTTTTGTTTCTGAGCCTTTATGAAAACCACCGAAGTTAAGCCCTGAGCCCCTCCGGGTAGTGATAAGGGACACACATGCCATATATTGACATGGTGTCTGACATGACAGTGGGAACAACAAACCATTGCCTCGGGAATCAAGTAACTTGTCTCTGGTGCTGTCAGATAAAGGCACCAAGTCCAGCTGCAGTGCAGATCTGGCACCTGGGTCTGAGCTCTCGCAGGCAGAGCTGCAAAATCTCTTCTGCCAGCAGACGTGTCATGGTGGCTCAGAAACCACTCTTGGCTTTTAAACCTCCTTATATTTGAAACTTGGTAGCTCAGAAGGGTTAGCAGGGCAATCCAGCCCCTGGAGGTGTGGGGAAGATACCCATTGTGGGGTACCCAGGGACACTGAATCTTCTCCTGCAGCAGCCTTTTTGTGCCCAGCTGCAGAAGGTAATTAGAGGGCAATGGGCCTGGGCATGTTGAAGCACAGCAGGAGCTTCATTGCCCTGTGTGTCACCAGTGTCAGTATGGGCCACAGTGAAATAAAGTTTGGGTTGCATGTAATTTTACTGTAGCTGGGCCCTCTGAGGTGTATGAGGGGAGATTTTTCTCTCCAATGTACCAGTAAAAGTGTAAGGGATTTCACAGTAAGTAAAACTAAAGTGATTGTGAAAGTACCATTTCAGTTTGAATGTCAAGTTTTCTCTCTCAATGGAAGGTTAAAAAGCCAACCCAGGAAGCATATCAGAATGAGCTGAACATTGAAAGTGTAGAGAGATCCTTCATTCTTTCAGCAAGGTAAGTCTTACAAATGAATATGCCATGTAAGCTTTTTATAGCTCATTGTGCACTTACGTAATGCAAAGTTACCCTTGGCTGGAGTAGTCACGGAACAGAGGGAATGCCAGATGGATTTCTGGAAATAAGGTAGGCTTTGTTCTGATCTACTTCTTTGCACATTCAAAATCTAATTTTGAAAATTTATTTTTAAATGGGCCAGCAGAAAGGAAGCCTGGTCACATGTAATAAGTTTCACAGATACTGTATGAATTTCTAGTTTCTAATACAGTTCACCCTAACTTTTAAGGAAGACTGCCTGTTGTGAAATGATGGATAGAAACACAAAAGATACAGTAAATGTAGCTGATATTTGAGCAATTTGGGCTTAAGGCTACAGCTGGTGGGGCTTCTGCTGTCCTCAAAACCATTAACAATTGGAGTGAGTTAAACTCCTGCTTGGCTCCTGCTGTTCAGTTTATACACCTTCACAAACTTGAACTGAAACACCATCCTCTCACTGCCTTTCCTTGAGAGGAAGGAGCAATCAAACATTTTTGTTTTGGTTAATTTTTGGCTTTGCTTTTCAGTGGGTTTTTTTTTTGTTCTTCCAAGTTGCATTAAGTTCATGCATTAACAGGACAGGATATGAAGCATGACAATAAATTTCGATATCATCATTGGTAATTGATATAAATTGGAAGAAGTCATCCTGGTCTTCTAGTTAAAATAACAGTATAATCGAAACAAGAAATGGATCTCAGTGAACGTGAAATTATGGAAATGGCAGCAATTATTGGAATGGTGGTTGTCTTCAACAGAAAAACAAATTCTCTGTTTACAAGAAAAAGGATAGATGTCCACTAAGCCAGAGTAACTCTGGTCTGCCTTCATGAGATGCCTTTAGCAAAGAGCTGGTTTTGTGGATTGTTGGTTTTGCTGCATTTGAGTTGAAGCTTCATTTGTTCTGATATTTGTGGCAGTGCTGATACCAATGAAGGAAGACATGTTTTTTCTTTTGTTTAGCAAAGCTGAGCAAGGGCAGACCACTTCTTTTTGCCTGACCTTGTAAGCACCGACATGAGGATGTCTGCACAAAGATAGCAGTATCTCTTAACTGAGGGGTAGACCAAGGTTAACCATGTCAAAGTAGCCAAAGGAAGTAGCTCGACTGTCTGAGCAATAGTTATTTATATCAATAGACTTGAAAAACACAAAAATACTCCTTCAATAAATTTAAATGTTTCTCATAGTTCATTTGCACAGTGGGGAAGAAAATGCATGTCGCAGTTTAGAGTGTGATTCTGCTCCAGTCTAACATGAGCAGGCGCTTGCTGCTTAGGTGCCTTGGTGACTGGGTGTCGCACAAATACAGGAAGACATTTATGGGATTGCAGTAGGCAACGTGGATTTATCTCTGCTTGGCTTGAAACAGTGTTTCACTTTGAATTCAGTCATGAAAGAAAATTGCAAGAAATCACTGGAACTTGTGAAAAGATTGTCATCTTGAAATACAGCCTACCTTCTTCCGCAAAACATGATGGACTTGTCCCTTTGAGGAACTGGTTAAGTGGTAGATTAAAAGCAGCTCCTGTAAAATGCATGCTATTCCCACAGGGAAAACCCCTTATATATAACATTCTCATGAAATTGGGCAGAGTTTGTGACATGTTTTTGTTTTGATCTTGAAATTACTGGAATTAACCTCACATTACCAACTAAAGCTGCTCTGATTTGCTCCTTCTTTTTTAGTGTTGTTGATCTTGCATCTTTGCAGCATTCAGTTCTGTTATTTTTATACTTGCTGAAAGCTGTGTGTATGTCAGAGCCCTAAGTTACACAACAATGATGGGAGGTTGCATTTGCTGGGGATAAAGGAGGTGCTGAGGGCCCCAGGTGTAGAATGGCGGTTTTCAGATAGTTACCCATCTGTGAGTCCTGGGCCCATTGTGATGTAGGAGGGAAACAAGTGAAAACCTACCAGCAGTAGGTGCTTGCATGTATTTTTTCACAGTTAAATATATTTTTCCTATTGATGAATATCCTGGATGTGAAAAGAATCAGTAGCTTGTCAATACAGCCTACATCTTCCTTGTGATGACACCTCATTCTAAGAGTCTTGATTCCTTTGTGGTAAAAATCTCTATTGCAAAACTGTTCAAATCTTACAGACATTGGAAACAAATTTTGCTTTTGTGTTTCTTCAGATAGTAAATATTATGCGGAATGTACACTAGAGAAGAGATTCTGAAATGATCCTGGGGATAGAGATGGAGAGGGTAGCAGTTAAGCTGGTGAAAAATTGCTAGTCATAAAAAGTAAGCCAGTTAACAAAAGAAGTGTAGATTACTACTTAGACAAGAGTCTTTTATCATTTCAGGTTTAGTTCTACCACCTGGTTTATATATTTATTTATTCTGCTTTGTTTAGTCTGTGTTGAGGTTTCAGTTTTCCTGGGATAGCTGTAGGAATGTGTATTGTTTTACATGGTACAATGCAGTATTGTACTAGAAATCTCTTAATCGGAGAAACAAGTTAGCACATCTGCATGATATGGCACTGTACAGAAATAAAGCTTCAGTCCTGAAAACAACAGTTGTGCCAGCCTGACATGGTGTGAGGCTAGCTGGTCCCATCCCCCTCAAGGCTTTCATCCCCTCAATGAAAGGTAGCGAAGAGCTACCCCAGGCAGACCTAGCTGCGTTGCTTCCCCTAACATAAGGATAGTTCATGGGATACTAGTTCAGCTAGGAGAGGTGCCCTAAGGCTCTTATCCTGAAAGCAACAGGGGTATAATTCTGTGAGCCCTCCTGGGACCACTGAGCTGCTTAGCTCCATTAGGTAGCTGCGGTGTGTGCCCCTAGCACACACGTTTGCCAGTAATAACAACTGCTGGGGCTCTCTGCAGTCCCTTCAAAGTTTTCTGCTGTTTTGTTAAATAAAGGAATAAATAACTTTGAAAAACCTTAAGAAAACCCTGCAATTTTAGTAAACAAAATTATTTTTGGGAAGCTGCAAGAAATACTGCACCTGCAGCGAGAGAAGCTGGGTAGGGCTGTGCAGCTGGGGAGGAGGGCTGGGAGTGACAGCCGAAGGAACACTGCCTATTTTGCTGTACTATACCATTACATCAATTCAGTTGCTGATGGCATTGCCTTTGCTGGTAAATTATGAAGGGACTGTAAGCAATCCTAAAGGCTAGCACTAGCAAACCTACCAAGTGCGAGCTCCACAGCTGAACACTGGGACACAGCTCATGTGCAAGCAGCCTCATGTGTAGCAGTCTCTACATGATAGGGGAATGCTTAGTCTCCCAAAACTGGGCCAACTTTAAATTTAATTACTGAATATAGTTATAGGAACCCAATTAAATGTAACCAGATTTTGGAAAAGCCAAAGGAGTTGATCTGTTCTGAATGTTACATAGCTAATGCAGACCAGTTGTTCGTTCCGGATGAGGCAGCAAAAGTAAATAAACTGAACAGAATGTTCCATGTAGAGTGTGAGATATTGGGACAGACAATAACACATTGCTTTGCCCTTCCTTGTGTCTTATTTCCTCTCCTCTTGTTTTGATTTTGTTGCTGTGTGTGCTAGATGGTTTGGGTTTTTTTTTCCCCTTGTGCTTCACAGGCTTCCCCTGTGAGGGGAACCCTTACCGGCTTTGTCCTCTCTGATTCTGTATAGTACTCAGTTTCATCCAGTTCAAAACTCTGGCTCAAAGTATTTTCCCTAAAGGTTCAAAGATGTTAAAAGCTTCCAAATTCATCTACAAACATCTTTAAAAAGTAATTGGCATTGCACATCCAATTTGCTTTCCTCTTCCCTAACTTCCCCTTTTATATATTTATCCAGTTCAAATTAATTTATTCCAAATTAATTTATTTGATACTGTTTAAGAAGTGAGGAACAAAAATAATGTTGGTAGTAGATACTGATTAAATCTTAGAAGCCCTTTTTAAGCTGACATGGCATCTTAAACATGTCAAGCTGTTCCTTTCCCACAAAACTGCTTCTTCCTTCCTCAGAGCACCCTCTGTAGTGCTCGCACAAGTAATTGTTCAGCATAGTGAACCCAGTCACTAAACTGGTCCAGAGCCAGGTCAAATGGTTGCTTTAATATGGATTTGTCCCCCAGTCCAGTGCACTGTGCCTATATAGCCCACTGTGTTACCATGTTTGTTGTGGCATAAGAGTGAAAATAAGACCTAGTGGCTGACAGGGAGCCTAGGAGGCTGCCCTTTGCAACAGGATTTATATTATGTGAAAGTGGTAGTGGGCCCATGGCCAGAGGAAGTGCTTTAGCATTGCACATAATTTAGTGTAGCTACAGGCTGTGCCAGGCACTCCTTGTTCCCCCTGCTCGCCATGCCGTGCCACTTCAGCCTAATGTTTTCCTTGCACTTGGTTAGTGATCCACCAGCTGTGGGATAGAGAGGTACGGAAGCTCATATGTTTATCTCTTTGGGTTAGCTAATCCAATGGTAAAATTCGAAAGAGAAGAATCGTTTCAAAGCAGCATGACCCAGTAGGAGCACAAGGCTGGGGAAGAGACAGTGTATTTTTCCTGAGAGAAGTTCGAGTTTTCATAGAGCTGAGTATAACAAACTGCACTTTGATGCAGAAGGAAGCAGGGGGGAGGAAAAAAAGGCTTCCTGCAATTTCAGGGTCCCTCTCAAAAGAGGAGGGCCCATGTCTTTGTTCTTGGAGCACCATTTAGACCAGTAAATGACAATGACATAGAAGACCTGAAATAATCACAAAGTATTTTGGAAAGAGGAAAGAGGGGAGGGGAATCCACATTATAACAACAGACACAGAAATCTTTTTTAGCATTAATCAGCACAAATGACTGACACCATGCAGACAGCTAAAACAATAATGCCAGTTTCAGCAGAACTGGACATGCTCTATAAAACAGAAATTGCAGCAGAGTAAGTCAGTGTGTAATAAAGTAGTGAGATTTTAATCAACACTTGCTTCTTAATTTTAAATGTTAGTAATAATAAATTATTCTTTTTTTCACTCCAACAGTTCTGCTACAGAAAGAGACGAGTGGTTAGAAGCTATCTCCAAGTCAATTGAAGAATATACAAAAAAAAGAATCACATTTAATCCTAGCAAAAGTCTTGAAGAGGTACGTCACACCGTTATTGTTGTGCTTTTCCTTTTCTGAATACAAAGCTTCTCTGTAGGTGTTCAGAGAAACAAGGGGCATTCATAATGAATAATACAACAGGATGGTAAATGGTAAGTGAACAGAACAATACATCATTCGTAATGTTATCTGCTTCATACATTTATTTTCTTCCAAAAGATCTAAGCCAGCTTTTTCAATTCTCTCTGTAATCTTGCTAAAAGAAAGGTAAAATGAAAAGATTTTAAAATACATCAGCTATTGGAATAAATAGGCTGGTAAAGCTTGAAAGTCACACAGCCTTTCTGAACAAATTAAATACAGCTGTTTCTTCAGGGTTGCATTTTAATGGCCACTGATGAAATAGTAGATAACATTTAAAACCATGACAATTTATCAGAGAAGCCTTTCCAATGTTAATTAAACTTACCCTATAATCACTGATTAATATTAATCTTATTTCTCATCACTGAATGCAATGATATTCTGTCTATGTACTCTCAGGCAGATCCAGAGAAACAGGAGGAAGATAGTCCGCTCGGATCGAAGGCTCCAATCTGGATCCCTGATACTAGAGCCACAATGTGTATGATCTGTACAAGTGAATTCACCTTGACTTGGAGAAGGCATCACTGCCGGGCATGTGGAAAGGTTGGGCAATTTTGTCATCACCTTTTCCGTTAATCATTCAGGTTCCTTGTGTGACAAATGCAGATGGAGCCTGATTGCACCACAGCTCTTTTAAAGGAACGCTGTACTGTGACGCAATTGTATGAATTAAAACCATCATGTAGGAGTTGCCTGCTTCTTTGTTTTAGAGCAAGGTGTTATAATACAGCAGTGTTCAACCTTTTAATCTGTTACATGTTTGTGTTTGGAGTGCTATTTATGATTGTCTTCCGATTCTGTAAATATGTAGTACAAACAGAAAATGTTACCTGAAATAAGGAAAAATATCTTCCTTGCCAATTTTGATAAGATAATGATTTTTGGTTTTAAGTTGGTACCAAGCTATATATATATTTAACACTTACGACAGGTATATCTAATAAACCTTTCTTCTTGTTTTAATCAAGCGAGAATACGGAATTCAATGCAGTTGAGACATCTGTGTCGTAGGGAAACTGTCAAGAGAGCAATTACTATTTTTAGTTATTTCTTTAAAATCTTATGATTTAAACAGTTCAGTAACAGTAAGTTTGTTCTTCTCTTCATGGATTGTTAATATTGGTTTATTAACTTGTGAAACTCAGTGATTTATTTTTTTAATATTTAAGTTGTTATAATTTAGAGGAGGAAAGAGCAGCATGTTGAACATAAGGACATAGGGTAAAGCCAAAATCTTAAACCAGGTTCTATTACAGGCTTAACAGTGCTGAAATTAATGTCTTTGAGCATTTGGTGATTTACAAGCGCACATCATGTACAATAATGCTTTATCTGTTTCCAGATTGTTTGTCAAGCTTGTTCATCAAATAAACATGGTTTAGACTACATGAAAAACCAGCCAGCAAGAGTATGTGATCATTGCTTCAGGGAGCTACAGAAACAAGGTAAAGAAATTCTTCACAAGCTGTCTTATTTTTGTGGCCCTTATTAACATGATATGTTTGTGCCTCATCTTTACTGATGGATTCAACTGCCTAATTCTGTTAGTCACTGACAAGTGATAGGCATCTGAGTTTATAAAAGGCCCAAGCAAGTTTCTGTGGAGTAAGCTAGGAAGTGAATTTTCAGTACATTGGCTCTTTCTTCCAGAAACATGCACTTGCCCTATAGTAATGACATGTAGCATATACCTCTTTCTTTTTGAGATAACCACTGTTACATTGCTTTTCATCATAACTTTATGCAGAAATGAACATAAAGTCAATGGAGGCATCTCTGAGTGAAATGGGAATCCAGTCCCATCTCACAAGACTTGCTCTGAATTCTGCCTAAAGACTCTAGTATAAAATATGCAAGCAGCCATAAGCAGGGACTGAAAGAGTTTGCTGCCTTTCCCACTAGCAGAGGCTACAGTTCAACACAAGCTCTATAGGGTATCAGGAAATCTGTGATTCCCCAGGGAAATAATCAGGCTATGGCTTCTAGCATGCTGGCAGTGACATTTCTCATGGGGATGTGGAAAGCAGCATCGACAACCCTTGAAGTGCTGGTGGGAGCCTGCAATGATGGGGAAGGTGGATTGTATGGACCACCTGCAGGTCTGCGGGTTAGGCACTAGAGGCTGCTGTGCTGCAGGTAATTGCAGGTGCTTTTAGCTGGGAGGAGAGCTGCACTGCAACTGAGTACGGCTCGCAATCCAATTGCTTTCCTGCTCTGCTCACTATTTCAGAGCCTCGGCAGGGTCTGTTCAGGGACAACTCTAGAAGTAGACTTAATGAAGCTATTCCTTCCAGGATGGGCTGTGAAACGGTGGTGGGTGTTGCTAGAAAAGAGGGTTTTAAAGGAGTGAAGTGTTGCATAAGTCTTCCAAGAGAGATAAAGGAACTGTCAGTGGCAATGGAGAAGTATGGATTTGACTCTGGAGATGGGAATCTCCAGAAATGCATGAGTGATGGCATGATGCTGGAAGAGGAACTGTGTAGCACCCATACTGAAAAAAGCTGAGAAGATAACAGATGTAGAGGATTGAAGGACAGAGTTGGGGAACAGATGTTAAACACAGGCTGAACTGCAGAGGACAGCTCTAAAACTTTGGTGTGGTTTTTAAGACTTAATTTTCACTCTGCCTATGGGCAAAGGTAGTTCATCATCAAGAACACAGACTGTAAGCAAACAAGACCAATCCATTTGGTTTTCATTTTCTTGTGGGCTTTTTTTTGCAGTCTGGGTGTGATTTGGGAGATTCTAATTCATGCTGTTGATGATAATACTGGAAAGTTAATTCCGCACTGAATTCAATGTGATCGTTACTATTGAAACACCTAATCAGAAGAAAAATGACAGCTGTTTTTAAGAAAAAAAGTTCAAGAATCACTGTCTTTGTCTAGTCACCTGTGACATGAAGGCCATATATTTATCCTATGCATTTTAGATAACCAGTGCACTCCTAAGAGCGGATCCCCAGTCAACCATAAATCTCCATCAAGTGCCTTGTCTACAGTTTTACACAGCATTCCCTCTGGAAGAAAGCAGAAAAAAATTCCTGCAGCCCTCAAAGAAGTAAGTGCTTTATTGATCAAAAGTCATGCCTTGTTGGTATTATATCATCAATATTAACAATGAAAAAAATAGTTCCATATTTTAGGCATTTCTTTAGAAATCTACAAAGTCAAAATTTGCCCATAACAGTGGCTTGGCCTTTAGTTTTAGGCAGGTACCTGAACTTTGAAGCAGAATATAAACTGCATAAACACCTGCAAGACTGTGATTCAGGGAGATAGTTAGAATTTTAATTTCTTTCGTGTTTCCCTGTGTTTCAAGGAATGGTGATTTACCACTGCACCAACAGTCAATGCCTACACCAACTCAGCTCTTAGCTTATGATTAGGAAAGGTAGAGCTAAACTCTGCCTACTTATGCTGGAGGTCCTGGGAATGGAAGGAAGTAATTTTTTCTTCTTACCTAGAAATGTGTGTTCTCCATCCATGTGTGGTCCTCAGTGTTTCAGCCTTCTTTTGTCTTGTTGCATCCAATTTAAGTTCCAACCCTAATGACTGCAGAAACCTCTCTTGCAGACCAGACAGATGGTGGCAATCAGTTTTCTTTCAGCCATCTGAGTTAATTAGCAAGATTAATTTGAGATTGGGTAAGAATTGGAGCCTTTGACAGGACAGGGCACTGGAGAGCTGTTTTAAAAAAAGCTGTACTGTGAAAACCTGGACAGATGCATACATACTTTTGGGATCTGTTTGTTTGTCTCTTCAGGTTTCGGCAAATACAGAAGACTCTACAATGAGTGGCTACCTACACAGATCTAAGGGCAGTAAAAAACCATGGAAACACCTATGGTTTGTTATAAAAAATAAGGTGCTATATACATATGCTGCTAGTGAGGTAAGAGGTTACATATTAGAAATCAAATAGCCAGTGATAATACTGTCTTTGTTACAAAGCTGTTTATTTTTATCATCTGGCAACAAGCTATAGTTAGATCACCTAATGCTAACTGGTCTGATTGCAGTATAGTATTTTGAAAAGGCCCAGTGACTTAGTACCATAACACACTGATACCGCTCCACTGTTTCTGATTCCAGACCTAGCTTTGAGTACTTCTGCACTACACACCATTGCACAGTTGTAGGTATGTTCTGAGTCAGTTGAATACATGGGGGTCTGTTTGGATGCATCACGCTGGGCTAGTGGCAAAGACAACCTTACAAAAGCATCTTGAAGTATCTTGTTCTGAAGTTCCGTATGGTATCTTGAATGTTTGGAAAATGAGCAGACTAAATCTCTTCTCCTCAAACTGTCATCTTCAGCCTGGAGTTACTATTTAATACACAGTGTGGCAGTAGAAAAAAGAAATGCATCTTATCTAATGGCATTTGCTTTTTTTATTTAGAATGTGTAGTCCTGTTGAGCGTGGAATAATCTAATCAATATGTATAAGCTTTGCACATCTGAGCATGTGTTGAGAATGTAGTTTTATTGCATCTTATAATGTTTTGCAACATATATGGATGCACTGTAGCACTGGAACATCTTGGGTTTCACCTTTGTGTATTACATATTATAGTTTGCTAATAGCTTTGAAGAGCAAAATGTCCAAGGCATCTGTTTAAAGGCATTGCCATCCCTTACTTTTCTTCCAAAATATAAGGACCAGCCTATCCTGAGCCTTATATTTTGTAAAGAATTACCCTTCCTTTAGATTGGATATAAGGAGGAAGTTATTTACTGTGAGGGTGGTGAGGCACTGGAATGGGTTGCCCAGGGAAGCTGTGAATGCTCCGTCCCAGGTGGTGTTCAAGGCCAGGTTGGACAGAGCCTTCGGTGACATGGTTTAGTGTGAGGTGTCCCTGCCCATGGCAGGGGGGTTGGAACTTGACGATCTTAAGGTCCTTTCCAACCATGACTGTTCTATGATTCTGTGATTCTTTACCCTCGTGCCACTCCCACTCTAGTTATTTCCTGATTTATGCTCAGATTTGTTCCTCCTCTAGTGCCAGTCTTTATTTTGAATTTCTGAATTACATCCAGAAACTGTGGTGTTATTTCCATCACAGCATTGGCAATAGTAAAAACCCAGGTATTTGTAAAACCATATTTGATTAGGATGTACAAAACTATTACTTTTGCAAAGATTTGACAAATACTTTACAGCAATGTGTCTTTCCTGGTAGTTGCAAAGGAGACTTTAACAAAGGGTAAAAGAAAGGCATATTTGTCTGCGACAGTCACCTTAAATTTTCTTTTGCTGGTATTAGCCTTCCAGAGTAGCTTCACTTTGCAGATCAGAATCATAAAATTAACTCTTTTCTGTTTTCTTTAAACTAAGGAATAGTTGTCTTTATTTTTCATCTTGATGAGCCACTGCAGGAGGCTTAAGGAAAGGTCCAGTGTGGCCTTAGCCAGAAAGCTCGTTAAACTACTTCTGTTAGTTCCAAGTGGTATCAAGTTTAGTGCTAAAAAGACCACTTATTAGTGGTACAAAAACTTAAGATACTAAAAGGTACCTGAGATACTAAAAGTTACCTAAGATACTAAAAGGTACCTAAGAAATTAAACCAGATTGCTAAGCCTTACTTGACTGTTTCCCATTATCAAGAAATGTTGCTTTCTCAGGATACTCGTTTCAATGTAGAGGCAGTTACCAAAGTCTTCACCTGATGTGTCAGTGTTTATGTGTATTCATCATTTATTTTTTTACTATCTGGAAGCATTGCAGGTCCCTGCCTAGTTACAAAACACTGGTTTGGAATATGCAAAGGATGAAAATACCATAAAAAGCAGCATTTTGTGCGTGACTATTTGTAACAACCTGCTTGTTGTATAATCTGTTGCAATGGTATGGTGCATGAGTAAGTCTAAATGCATTTCTTAGTATGTCTTACATGCTCAATTTTGTCTTGTTTGCTTTTTTTTTCCCCCCATAAAATAGGATGTGGCAGCATTAGAGAGCCAGCCTTTACTTGGATTCACAGTCAGTGAAGTAAAAGATGAAAACTCAGAATCTAGAGTGTTCCATTTACTGCACAAAAACACTTTATTTTATATATTTAAAGCAGATGATCCCCATTCAGCTCAAAAGTAAGAAACTATTTGATTTGTTACCTTTTTCTAGAAAATGGTTCAGAAATCATGAATATTACTGTTCACAGATTAAACATAGGTACAGAAAATGCATATTATATGTAAATAAAATGTTTAAATTACTTAAAGATAAGGTCCTGGTTTCATTAGGACTTCTGAAATGCTTTAAATGAAGAAGCAGACTGTCCTTTGCAAAAAAGTAAATGTAGGAAAATGAAAAAGTCTTAGAAAGATAAAATAAGAAACCTTTCTTTTTTAGCCTATTCCTCTATCCCTGGTCTGCTGAAGTGAAAATGGAATGTTACCTTTGGAAAAATCAGAATTAACTGATGTGTCCCTTCTTTTATTTCCAGCTGTAAATTTTAATTATTTTTAATTACTATATGGCAGTGAAAATAACGCAAACACTACAAAGTAAGGGACAGACATTTGAAGTGTATGTGCAGATATGCGTGAGCACCTAGGCATGCTTAGTATGTTCAGACCAAAAGCTTGAATTCAAAGAATACTTACACGAGCTGTTTCATTTGAAGTCCTGCTGATGTGTCTGGGTTTGGAGTCATATTTATCAATGTATGTATTATGTGTGATTTATATGAAATAACCTAGAAGCTTGGGCAGTAATCAGGAGACTATTTGCTATATGAATCATGAAGTAGACTAGAAATCAGCTTGGAAGTAGTATATTGATCTTGCCTGTATGCTTATCTTATATGACTGGTTTCACTGCAGTTTTCCCAAATGAATTTTACATTAATACAATAGATGTCATGTGCTAACTAGTCCATTATTAATACTTAAGCATTCAAAGGGCTGCATGTATAGTTTTGTGCAAATAGGGATATTCAAGAAAACAAAATAGCACACCTGAAACTTCTGAACAGCTGCAAAGGTGCTTAATTACACTTCTTTACACAAAATCTGTAAGTCATTTGATTTTGGGGGGTATTTTGTCTTGCAGATGCATACAAATATTTTCCTGCTAGTTACAATACCATTCCTTTGTTTCTACTGTGTCCTTATTCATACTCTATAAAACAAAACTAAAAAAAGATCCAAGGCATTCTATAGCATTGTTTTCCTATTCAGAAATCTAGTAGAAAAACTTGCAATTGGACATATTCTTTTTTGCTGTAGCTAGGAATAACATTCGGTACCTTAAAAGGCAAGCTTTGTCTGAGTAATATCGTTAGGAGACTTACGCTGAACCTCTAGAATAAATGCTGCTTTGATAGCATTGAAAGAAAAAACAAAGAACATGCTGTTGGCCTGTTTACATCAGTGGACACTATTTTTTTCCAATTAAGGCCAAGAAAATCTCTGATGTATTTGTGTAGGTACAGTAATAAATTTTAACAAGACATTTACTGCTAGAGCTGTTAAATTTCTTAGTCCAGTACTGCCTACAATGCTTCTATCATCTGGCCTTGTACTGATAGCTAATACATCTCTAGCAGGCTTTGTATGTTTGGACTCACTGAATGTATTTCTGGCATTTGCACAAACAGACCAACTGCTAATGGCAGTACGATGTTACTTCTTGTGTGGATCTGTAGCTAGTCAAAGCAGTGTGATTTACACTTTTGCCAGCAACTGCCTAACAGTGTTTAATTTTCTAATAGGTGGATAGAAGCTTTTCAAGAAGGCACCATATTATAGCAGTGTCAGCATCATGTCTGCAAGCTTAAAGGAAAACATCCAGGAATGGTGGTAAAACAGAGTACAGCAGCTGTTCAAAGAAATGGAATCCCGCCATCTCAGCTTCCACAAAATTGTATATTTGTCAGGATTAGGAGTTGTTGCATTTTTAGTATAAGGTAATATTTTTTTTAAAGAACTGTGTGTATTTCTGTGTTGATACAAAATGTGTTATTTATTAAATTCCAGTGTTTACTGAAATGCTCAGAATGATTTGTGAGGTCTGTGTTGAAGTCCAAAGTGCCCGTGTCTTCAGAATGGCGAGGGGTTGGTCAACATATTCCTAAAGTTTATAATTTAAAAAAAACCAAAACACAGAACAAATCTGTTGCAGTTGTACAGTTCCTCATGATTTGTGTATAGGTCTGGAGTTGCTGATGCTCACTTTGCAAGTTAGCAAGAACAGATTCGAATAGGAATTGCAAAGATTCTGGATCTTTGCTGGCTTTGTAAACTCCTTTATGAGAAGTTGTATGATACTGTTGCTCCTTTCCTTGAACGGCAATTGAAATCTTGCTTACCAGTACATTAAAACAGTACAATGAATTCTGTATCACAGAAACAATGCAAAATAAAGTTCAATTACTACAAAAAAAGGGAAAAATAGTGTAAAACAGATTTTTGCAATTACAGAGATAAGGCACTAGAGCTTTTTCAGTATTACAGATGCCAAAGAGACTAAATAATGAGTTATTTTCAAACAATCACAGGATGTATTTTCTTTTATGTTTCCAAGAGTAATTTAAAGCAGAACGAAAAATACATTTTTGATGCACAGGGAAAAGACAAAATACATTATTTGCTTCAAAACTTTGTGTCAAATGGGTTCTGTACACAGCATGAAACACTGTATATTGTTCAAAGAACATTAAACAATATATGCACACACACACACCCTTCCCCAAATTTTAAACTATATTTAGATATTATGTTTAAACTGGAATTGCCATACCAAGAAAACCCAGCTATTTTAGTGCAGATGGCATTGAAAATGCATATGATTCTTTGAAATACCTTTTTGTTTACACTATGATTTTTTCTGTTAGACACTTTAAAATACAATTCAGTTTTAGGTGTTAGGGGTTTTTTCTTTAAGAAAATTATCAGTATACCTCATTAGGAAATAGTTACTGATGATTCTGGTGCATTTATTCTATTTAAGTTTTGAAAGTTTTTTAACACTGTAATAGCATAAATGGAACTAGAACTATGAAAAAACGTATAAAAGGAAGCCATTTTTATGTCAAATGCATATGTAGCCAGTTAATTTTACTGTATGAAGCACTTCTCAGTATTCCTGTGAATCAAGCTAGTTGTGGTTAACAGAATTAAGAGCAATTCACTGTTAATTAATAGTTTGAATCTATGTTAATAGCTATTCTGTGGCCTCACAAAGGAAAGAGAATGCATAATAGTTAGTAGTCATTACAAGAAGGCCAAGAATGAAAATGCAAACCAAAATTCTCCTATTTCCTCAAATACCTCAAGATCGGGTCTAAGATGCTAACTAATATAGCTCTGAAGAAGCTCAATTTTTCCAGAGCTTCTGTTGTTAATAGCAGGTTTGGAAGCCTATGTTAATGTTAAGCCAATGTTTAATGTTAAGTATACAAGCAATTTCATTGACTTCAAGCATTTCAGTAGAGTACCTTTCTGAATCAGGGACTTAAGGCTGTGGAGATCTGACCCTCATGAACACTAGAGGTTTGACCAAATAGTGTTTCAAATTCAGTGTGAGTCTGATCAAAGCCTTTATTCTCTTTTATTATTTTAATAGAAACATGATAAATTAATACTTTTCTCATTAAATATAAAGGGCTGTTACTTAATTTTCAAAACCAGCTGCTGTCTAAAGCTATGTAAGTTATTAGCATGTCTCTTCAGGGTGATTTCTACATGGTTTTTACTGTATCCAAAACAAAACTGATACCCAATATAACATAGATGAGATGTGGCTCTTCCAGTTGGTATTATCCAAGGGAAGAGCTTTTTAATATTTTCATAGGGTCTGCACAAGAACTAAGATGGAAAGCCATGAACCAGCAAATGAATCAGATTTGGCTAAGAGCAAGCTAATTTAATTACAATTCATCATGTGATATTGATCTTCCTACTGCAGAACAGAGCAATAAAAGTCAAAATTCATACTGAATAAGGCGCCCAAGTTCTGATTCCTGTGGCGTTAAACTACCTCTAAGGATTTGGTGCAAAGTGAAAAAATAGCTTCAAGTGTTCTATAAAAATCAGAGGACTTCTTCCAGAAGCAGCTGATCAATCAAAAAAATCTTTCTGTGACAGAAATAGATTCAATGGAGCCTTAATAGTATATATATTGCAGCCTAATTCTGTGTGAAATAAATTGTATTTGTAAACATGTTTGAATATTTCTTTTCCCCTTTCTCCAGCATGACTGGTTTGTGTCATATGAAGAACCCACAACATAGCCATTTTCATAACATTTTCAGATGATCGCTTTTCAGACTTATCCTGTTTCTCCAGCTCACATCCCATTTTGATCCATTGCTATCAAAAGTAAAGTATTCACTTTTTGATTTGACTGAACACTAAAACAAGACCAGAAGTTTTTAAACACCTGGCTACCTCTTCTTATAAGGATCTACAGTTAATAATTAATTTAAGATTGGTTAGTAGAGTATGAGACAAACATTAGCAAGGAGTAATAGTTCTAGCATCTTTATTCTTGGATAAATGAAAGGTTCTAGGATCCTGAATTCTCTTTAACTTAAAACTGTTTTTTGTGCCCAAAGGACTTAAAACAAATGGATAGTTCAGCAGCTGTAGAACACATTTTACTTAAATATTTTTTGTGTGGAAAAACTGATTACTCAATTACGTATATTACATCATAATGTAAAGAGATGTTTGGAAAGACATTTTCAATGCCTTTGTTTGCCATAACTGCTGTCCCCTGTAATTACCATCCAAATAGGCTTTTATTTGGAGCAGTCCTAAATTGTAACTGTCTAAATGAACAAATAGAATCTTTATTTTGTAAATTAAAACAGTTTAAAGTGTTGTAAATACTCCTGTGGATATGTATCATTTTTGTATAAATAAATTCACTTGAGTCTCCATCTTCTTTTTTATAACTTTATGTATTATGTAGTTTGTGTATTTGTCATTATCCTGCCCATCAGTCTTTCTTTAAAATTCATGTTTTGCCCTTACGAAAAAAGCCAGAAAATGTAAGCTGTGTGCACAGACTGACACTGCTGCTGGATTTGACCACCTGAAACATTAGTTCTAACAAGATAGAGGACAAGAGGAAATGGCCTCAAACTGTGCTGGGGGGAGGGAGGTTAGATTGGATATCGGGAAAAATTTCTCCACCAAAAGGGTTGTCAAGCATTAGAACAGGCTGCCCAGGTTGAATCACTGTCCCTGGAGGTATTTGAAAGATAATGCAGATGCAACATTTAGGCACATTGTTTAGTGGTGGACTTGGCAGTGCTGGGTTAACAGTTGGTTTCGATCTTAAAGGTCTTTTCCAATGTAAATGACTGTGATTCTGTAAGTATTTTAGCGGGGCCTGTAAAGGAGAGATTTTTCTGTCAGGTTAGTTATGCTGCCTCCTTGTACTTCTCTGATGGATGTTTGAAAGCAGGTTTTATTTGGTAACCTGCAGTTGCAGCATGAAGAGTTTTGCTTCTCTGCATGTTTTTGATACGGATATGTCTCTTGTAATCCTGGCTGACACAGCTACATGCCTCTGTAATACAGATCCAAGCATGAACTGGGTCACTTGCTAAAGGAAAAAATCAAACCCATGTTTTATTGGTCACAGCAACATTTCTGCTCTATTGAGCATATCAGAATACTTATTTGAAATAAGCTTTGGTTCAAATTCCTTGGTATGTGTTAAACTGCAGTAAGTTCCTTCATTTATAAAGTGGATGTGAGGCTCAGGCTATCTTAGGAAGTGACCAGTACTGTCAATTGAGAGTGCTGTATCTGTGACTTTCAGGAAATGCTTAGCAAGTTAATTGCTCCAACTTAAAGTTTCTTTGTAAGGATCATTTGCATTTGGCTTTTGGGCATGCGTTTGATCAAAAAGGAAACTGATGCTTGCATGTGATAACTGAACTAGTGATCTTGAGCTACAGTATCTGGATGCAAGTGCAGCTATGGGACTGGGTACGAAGAAAAGTAGTGAAGCAACTGACAAGAATTATTTTATTAATAGCACATAAATTGGAGTTTTTTTCGTATCTCTGCTTGTCAGATGTTGATGCTTATGTCATCTGATTCAGTAGAAATTGTGTAAAATAGTCTAAATTAATTTCAGGTGATGAAATTGTGCATACAGCCCCAGTAGCCTAAGGATCTTGAAGTTCCTGCTGATGTCTTAACCACAGCTATACAACCTCCATTGAACACGTGGAAAAGGAGGGGGGTGGGGCGAAGTGATATATTTAAAGTATGTAACTCTTACTTAAGATGAAGGTAACTAAAATGATTAGAATAAATTAATTAATTCAACTTTGGTCCAAACGACTGTTGAGACACAGCCAGAGCAGCTGTTTCGGTGCATTTCTGAAAGCCCTGCTGCAGCACGGTGTGCACTCAGGAGCAGCCAGGCTCCCCACTGCCTTTCCAACCCCTGCTCAGAGCAGCGCTGACATTTAATGAGGTACTTTGCTACTATCATGCTGGCAGAGAAAGACAGCTTTTCCCAGCGCTGCTGGCTGAACTGCTACAGTAACCGCGAGGTGACTCGCACCGTGATGCAGTGCTGTTGATGTCTCTCCACCGTGTTTCATCTCTTCAAGTCTCACCTATGTATTTGTCCCAGTGGGAAGATCCCACCAAGCTTCCCAAAGCCAAAAGCACTCGCTTTGCACTCGCTATGTTTAAAGCTGGCACACTGCCGTTTCCTTGAAGAGAACAGCGGCGGGGATTTGGAGACTCGAGTTCTCCTCCTCACGGACACGGGGCCCGTGTTGCTGTCAGAACCATGTGGGCCAGAGCCACGTTTCCCCATCTGTAAGGGATGCCACCTGCCCGCGGCACCTCAGCTCCCGGCGCTCCCCTCAGCACCGCTCTAGGCCCGAGGCGGCAGCGCCGGTACCGGCCGCTGCCGGGTGCGGAAGGTGCCGGGCGGCCCACAGCGGCCGCCAGCCCCGCCCCAGCAGCCCCCCACCACTGCCAAGGCAGCCAGGCGCAAGCGCAGGCGCAGCCGCCGCGGCGGTGAGGGGCGGGGCGGTGCCGAGCCGAGGGGGCGGGGTCACGAACTCTGACCTCCAGGAGCCGGAGCCGCCGCTATCGTCGCCGCCAAATAAACCGGCCGAAGAGGCCGCCGGACCCACCAGGTGAGTCACTCCGCCGGCAGCGGCCGCGGCCCGGCGCGGTGATGGCAGTGCGCTAACGGTGCGTTCTTGCGCGGCTTCCGTCCTCCGCGGAGCGTGGCGCAGGGCGCCGCCCGTCCCGCCTCAGGCCTTGGCGCGTCCCGCGGTCGGCCCCGCGCCCCCCGACCTTTCACCTACAGGAACCGCTTGCGCCTCCCGCCGCCCCGCATCCGGGCAGCGCCGTCTGCTGCTCGCCGCCAGCGCGGCGGGCTGCGGCCGCTCCCGCTGCCGAGAGGCAGCCGCGGGGGGAGGCGGCGGTGGGTGATGCCATCCATCCTCATGCTGGGCTCCGGCCCCGCGCAGCCATTTTGCGAGGGGCCCGCTGGCCGCTGGGGAGGCCGAGTCCGGGCGGTGCCTCGCCGCAGCTCCGCGGGTAGTGGAGATGTGAGGGCAACCTGTCCAGGGGGGAGGTGGGGGGTGGGTTGGGGTAAGATGGGCCTGGGCGCCGGGCAGAAGCTGGGCCGCCGCGATGCTCTCACCCTTCCCCCTTTCCCCTCCCCCGCTCTCCCCCCCCTCAGCGGCGGCGGCCGTGCGCAGCGTCAGGCCCCCCCGGGGGCTGACCGAGCTCCCGACCCGCAGCCGCTTTGTGCCTGCCGTCTCCGTCACACAGCCGGTTCGCTTCTCTCAGATGGCGCTGGCGGCTGTCTGGGTTGGTTTGGGTTAAGGTAATAAGTTCTGGATAACGCCCGGTAGTGTTTTTGTTGTGGCAGATGACCCTGTCGCTGGTCCGTAGTTTGTGTCGTTGCGTGGGGTTTTACTTCTGAGCTGCTGGGCTTGTGGGCTCTTCCTTCTCTCACTGCTGCAACATATTGTCCTAAGTGTGGAAAGCGCTGCCCTGTATCATAGGATGAATTTAGGTTTGCACTTTATGCAGGGAAGAGAGGAGGTGGCATCTGTTGTGCGAATAAACTTGAGAAACAGGGAAGGAAGAAAAGGCTTTTGATACTGGTTTTACTGCAAGACGAGTGTGTGGGCCTGATTCTTGAAAGCCTGAGTTGGGCATTCTTCATGTGTGAAAACTGGTTTGAAGTTATTGATACAGCATCAGCAAGAGGGGCTGGAGAAAGTGGTGTAGTAGGAGGAGCTGTATCCCAAAAATGAGATGGCAGAGAATTCAAGTAGTTTTCTGTAGGGCAGCTTCCTGGTTTTGGAGTTGGCATTATGTAATTAAAAATAGAAGGACTGGGGGAGTCAAAACATCACATTACTGTGCTGGGTGAGGCAGTGTTCACCTGGTGACACTTCTGTGCTTTGTATTTTGGGTGGCTTTTTCTGTAACAGTATTTTTACCTGAAAATAATTCTGTAAATTATTGTAGCCCCCCATTAGTCCATGGTGGCCAGTTGTGACACAGGCATTTAACCCACAGCTTTCTCCTTGACTGTACAGCTTTCCTCAATGTGCTTGTTTGAGGGAAATCTTAATGTCTGCTTCTGTCCGTAGCTCTTTCTCCAGAGGCATTGCAGATTCTCTGTTACCACAAGACTGAGGTTAATCTCATGGTACTCAGCTGTATGTGTACACATATGTGGTAATACAGGGAACATAACTGACATCACCTGGCATGGTGTACAGTCCTCAGCTGCTTCTGCAGTTCATTCAGACTGCTCTACCTGCATGGTTGGGCACCACTTGCTAAGTCTGTTGCATTCTGCAAGAACAGATCAAGATGTTTTTTACAGAAAAGAGTTAGCAGTAGATAAATTAACTGGCTTTATCTCTTCCCTTCAGTTCTTATTAACACTTGTTTTTCTTACTGGCTCTGTTTTCTTGTGAAGTGTTGCCTTGAAGAGAACGAATACAGTGCAAATGCAGTGGGAGTTCTGATGTCTTTAAGAATACCCATAGCCTAGGCTAGATTGTGGGGTAGCAGGGGGAGACTGGGTTTTGGTTTGTTTTGGGTTTTTATTTTACTTCTTTTAAAGCCTACCTTGGTTTCTCTGATCAAGTTTCTCAGCCTCTGAAGAGAAAGCCCTGAGCAACATGGGTAACTCTTAAGCTGACTTTGCTTTGGGGGGAAAGGGTTTGGACCAGACGACCTCCAGAAGTCCCTTTCAACATGAATTTATTTCATGACTGTTGTGTTATTGAAGCTGGAGGGGAGAGGAGCATGGGGAACAAAAGCCAAACAAAAACCCACCGATACTATGGCATGCTGTTACATAATTCACATGTAAAATACAATTACAGAATGCTTAAAGCTCATGTGCTAGTTCAGTGAATACTGGCTTTCATCTGTAATATGAAATCTAAATATTTACACTGGGAAGATTAGTTTGCTTGTTCCTTATGCTGATAACTCAATTTTCATTTTGATTCACTGTGTGCTTATTGTATTATGCAATTAAAGATTGTGCAGCCAGTGAAATTGCTGGAGTTTTCTTATGGTTTGTGAAGGAAGGCAGTCTCCCTGAAGAAAGTAACCTGTGTCTAATGTCTGGGTCAGAAAAAATCCTGAAAACAGCCAGCAACCCCTGCTTAAAGGGAGCTGAACTGTGTGTAAGAAATAGAGCAGGGTCAAATCTTTAGCTTGTACACATTTCCTCTACTGGTGGACAAAGTATGGATCTCTGCTGGCAGTGCTGCATCTGACAAAGGGTATGTGCCTTTCCTGCTTCAGCAGGCACTAGGGCTTACCTGGTTTTAATAGTAAGCTTTGCTAACCTGAGTGATTTTTGGTTGATGCAGGTCAGGGAGCTCTCATGTGAGTGTCTGCTTTGCCGGGCCTGTGAGGGTATTAACATCCACGCTGAGGGTGGGCGCAGGGGCCAAAGGCTGTGGCTGGCACAGCTATCTGCCTGTGCTGTTTTATCAGGCACAGGCTGCAGCATGCAACCCAACAGTGACCATCAAGGAAAACTGGACAAGTTATCTTCTGGGTGGTGTTTCAAGCTGCTTTTGACACTTTAAACTTGTGCTTGTACCTTATTGGCATAAGGTGAGCTGCTGCAAAGCAGAATTTAATCAGTGTGAGAATGACTGGTAAAACTGCAAAAGTACAGTTAATCAAAATCTTACTCTTGTGTATGCAGACCTGTCCATATATTTACCCTTCAGTCGTCAGCTTCTCATTCCAGATATTGCTGTTAAGTAGTACTCACCAAACTCTTAAAGCAACAAAGGATTTATCTTCTGAAGGATCAACTCTTCATTTCCACTTCTTTGAGACCAGAGGGTTGCTTGTGCTTTCTGCAGAAGTCCCATGTGTCTTATGAGGTAGTGCTGCAGATTTCGTAACGAAGTATGCTCTTTCCTGAAAATCGTGGTGTAAGAACTGCCTATCACATTCTGTATCACTATTTAGATTAATTTTGCTGGTTTAGCCAGGGCTTCTCTGAAAGACTCTTCAAATTTGCCTAGCTTAAATTACTCTTGTTCAACTTGATAGGGAGATAGGCAGGACTAAGCTAAGTATTTGACAGCCTCTGTAGAAAGTTAAACCAGAAACTTGAAAAACGTAAACCACCAGAAAACTAAAGCCAAACCCTCTGCTGTTGTCATATTAGCTATAATTAATAATTATTTAATTCCAAGTAAGTTGAGGTTGTGGTTTATAGCTTAGCAGCAACTTTGTGGTGTGAAAACTGCTCCATTTATTTTGGTGATGTTTCCTTTGAAGTACTAGCAGGACAGTGTAAGTGTCAACATGACTAATGCTTTCACTCTTGACTGACTTAATCTGATTTTTTTTTTTTTCAATGTGCTTTACAAGTGTGTTGATAGGAACTAGAAAAAACAAACCAGAAGAACCCCAAACAAAACCCCAGCCACACTCATCTAAAAAAATCTGATCCTGTGGAGTTGATAAGGGGTGGGGCAGGAAGAGGTGGATGATGATACTTTTATCTGAAACAATGTCAACACTGATTTACTGTGCTGAAAGGATCTGTGTGAAACTCGGGGTGGAGGGGGCTGTTCTTTTGAAGGCAGTTTCTGTGGATGTGAATGTGTGCAAGTAGTACTACTGAATACATATGCATGTTCTTTCGGTAGTGTGCTTTCATTTATCAGTTGTCTCATCTATGGCTGTAATTCAGTGAATACCCCAAGCAGTCATCTCACACCATGACTATGGGCAGTTTGGTATTACAAATAAGCTCTTGTAACGTTATGGGCTTTTTCCAAAAGAAAGACTTCTGTTTCTGCTACTGCTTGCTTTTTAGTGTGCATTACATGTAGCAATTAGATGCAGGGTAAATCAATTCAGAAGATGAGCTTACCTTACAGCGTTATAAATGAGGTGAAATGCAAGAGGGGGACAAAGCTGTCAGGCAGGATTGGGACTGCCTCTTTGTGAAATGCTGTAGCTATACTATAGTAGACTTAATGCCTCAGTATGTTTGGAAAGAAGGATTTGCACTTGCTATGTGTGTTAATGTAATCTTTGTGTGCCAGGTAGAACAGACCTGGCTTCAGACAGGTGAACTTCCTGTTCTAGATCATTGTGCAGCTTCAGCTCTGGTGGAGGGAACCAGTTTTGTCCTTTTTCTTTGTGTACTAAATACAGGATTTTGCAGGCTTCAGGTGCAGATGCAGGCTATGGCTGACATGACAGCAGCTTGACCTGATTAAATGGCTCTCTTCTTACCTAGTTCTGGCCTGTTGCCAGCACTCATGTGAATGGACTCAGTTTGCAGACAGCCCCCCTTGCCTTTTCTCCTCCCTCCTTATTGGAGAATCATAGAATAATTAAGGTTGGAAAGGACCTTAAGATCATAAAGTTTCAACCCCCCTGCCATGGACAGGGACACCTCACACTAAATCATGTCACCCAGGGCTCTGTCCAGCCTGGCCTTGAACACTGCCAGGGATGGAGTATTCACAACTTCCCTGGGCAGCCCATTCCAGTGCCTCACCACCCTTACAGTAAAGAACTTCTTCCTTATATCCAATCTAAACTTCCCCTGTTTAAGTTTGAACCCATTACCCCTTGTCCTATCACTACAGTCCCTAATGAAGAGTCCATCCCCAGCATCCCTGTGACCCCCCCCATCAGATACTGGAATGCTGCTATGAGGCCTCCACGCAGCCTTCTTTTCTCCAGGCTGAACAGCCCCAGTTTTCTCAGCCTGTCTTCATATGGGAGGTGCTCCAGTCCCCTGATCATCCTCATGGCCCGCCTCTGGACTTGTTCCAACAGTTCCATGCCCTTTTTATGTTGAGGGCACCAGAACTGCACACAGTACTCCAGGTGAGGTCTCACGAGAGCAGAGTAGAGGGGCAGGATCACCTCCTTCGACCTGCTGGTCACGCTCCTTTTGATGCAGCCCAGAACACGGTTGGCTTTCTGGGCTGCAAGCGCACACTGCAGCTGGCTCATGTTCATTTTCTCATCAACCAGCACCCCCAAGTCCTTCTCTGCAGGGCTGCTCTGAATCTCTTCTCTGCCCACCCTGTAGCTGTGCCTGGGATTGCTCCGACCCAGGTGTAGGACCTTGCACTTGGCATGGTTAAACTTCATGAGGTTGGCATCAGCCCACCTCACAAGTGTGTCAGGGTCCCTCTGGATGGCATTCCTTCCCTCTAGCGTATCAACCGAACCACACAGCTTGGTGTCATCGACAAACTTGCTGAGGGCGCACTCAATCCCACTGTCCATGTCAGCGACGAAGATGTTAAACAAGACCAGTCCCAACACTGATCCCTGAGGGACACCACTCGTTAC